TTGTCTGGTGATGGAGGTCGGATGGACCGTAGTAGGCGACAGAGATCAGAAGGACCGTAGGCGGTAGGAGACAAGGAGTCAGGTGTTAGACCCAGTGTCACTTGGAAGATCGGGTGTTGATGGTCTGGCCTTGAGTAGGACGTCGGGTCTGAACATCGGGCCTTAAGCAGGATGTCGGGTCTTCAGCGGGACGTAGGGACTGAACGTCAGGCCTTAAGCATGACGTCGAGTCTTCAACAGGACGTAGGGACCGAGTGTCGGGCCTTGAATAGGACGTCGGGTCTTCAGTAGGACGTAGGGGCTGAACGTCGGGCCTTAAGGTGGTGGTCCGGCGAGGTTCTTGCGGTGGCCCGGCGGTGGTCCGGCGGTTATCGAGGAGGAGCTCCTTCCTTCTCTTCTCTTCTTCTCTCTCTTGCTTGAGTTTTTCTCTTATGAAGAATGAGGGCTCTATTTATAAATTTTCAGGAGTGGCATGACCCATAAATAGGCGTTAGATCAGGGGTGAATAGGGAGTGGTCTAATGGACGACCGATATTGAATCCTACGATCGTGTACCGTTCGTTGGACATTTGAAGGCCTTAGTGATGTCGGAATTCTGTGATCTTGAGCTCGTTGGACTCGTCTCGCCGAGACGTTCGATTCGGGTATAAGCTTGTTAAAATCGGAGACCGTTTGATAACTCAAATTGCGGTTTGAACCTTCCAACAGCGCTTCGGGTCCTTGATTTGGACCCATCTGGGCTCGGATTGGGTCGAATTTGGTGTCGTTGAGTTCGTATTTTCGAGACGCTCAGTTCAAATATAAGCTTGCTGAAATCGGAGTTCGGGTGCTCTCGGAATTAATTTTTGAAGTTTCCAACTAGCTTTTGCCTCGAGATTCGTGCCCGATCAAGCTAATTTTGTGATGTCGTATCATATATATTAAAAATTTTACAATAATTCACATTGGCAATCATAAATGTACTATCAAATAATATTGATACATCCTCAAAAATTTATATTGATCAGGCACAAATCTCGAAAAAAAATATATCAGAAACTTCCAAAATTAGATTTGAAATCATCCAAACTCTGATTTCAACAAACTTACATTCGAACTAAACGTCTCGGAAATACAAACCCAACGACACCAAATTCGACTCAATTTGAGCTCAAATGGGTCCAAATCAAGGACCCGAAGCTATGTAGGAAGGTTCAAACCACAATTTGGATTACCAAACAATTTTCAAACGTGACATGCTTATATTCAAATCAACGAGATGAATCCAATGAGCCTAAAATCACATAATTTCTACATCATTAAAAATTTCAAATGTCTAACGAACGGTTCACAATCAAGAGATTCAATATCGGTCGTCCATCCAAACCACTCCCCATTACCTTTGATCTTCCTCCTATTTACGGGCCACAATACTCTATGAAATCTATAAATAGACCCCTCCTTTCTCTTGAAAAGGAGCCCCAAGCCAAAGGAAACAAGAGAGAGATTAAAGATTATTCTTGCCTCCTTGCTCCTCGACCACTACCCGGAGTTTCGCTAAACTATCGCCTGTTGCCAGAGTTCTGCCGGGCCACCACTTGAGGCCGGACTTTTGCCGGACCACCACTTGACGCCCGAAGTTTTGCCGGACAATCACATGAAGCCCAAAGTTCTACCTGACGTCCTGAGTTCTTTCAGACCACCACCTGACGCCCGAAGTTCTACTATATCACCACCTAAGACCCAGACTTCTGCTAGACCTGACGCCTGGAGTTCCGCTGAATCACCACCTAACGCCATTGTTCTGCTGAACCACCACCTAACACCATTGTTCTGCCGATCCACCACCAGAGGCCCAGAGTTTTACCGGACCACTACCTGAGATCCAAACTTCTACCGACCATTGCCCAATGCCGAAGTTCTACCAAACCACCACCTACTACCAACTTACACCTGAATTTTCAAGTAACGCCAGACTTCTGCCAGACCATTAAGTGACGCAAGAATTTCATCCTCGTTTGACATTTGTAATCTGATCACCTCATGGACGAGTCAACCCATTATAATCTATCCAAACACTAGTGAAATAATTTCAGACTGGGCCAGACCTCGTGATTTTTTTTTTTCTTTCCAGAGTTTTTCATATAAAAAATCTTATGTTCTCTATGTGTGAGTTGTATATTCATACAAACACTAAGACGTAGGATTTTAACTCTATCACCGTGCATAATCTAGCCCGAAACAAATATAATATTAATTTTAAGGGATTTTTACATACATAACACCTAAAACAATCCTAATTACTTATCTAACACCTAAAAATTACTATTTACATCCATACCACCTAAATTTATCACGCTGCTAAAAAATACCACTCGGTTAACTCTGTGAGAACCCTTCAACCTCTGCCGCGTCGGCTTCAACATCCCTTATGGAACCTCCATGTCCTACCCTCACGTCGGAGGGATCGCGGCCCTGTTAAAGACCCACCATCCGAACAGGAGCCCGGCGAAAATCAAGTCCGCTCTGATGACCACCTCCTACGTCCACGATAAAACCTTGCAGGCTGCAGCCCCTCAGGGACGTTGCCACTACAACGCAGTTTAACTCCCTACGACCACAGCGCAGGACATATTCATCCTCTGAGAGCTTTAGATATGGGGCTTGTCTATGACATCACTCCTAAGGATTACTTCGAATTTCTCTGTAGTCAGAAGCTGACTCCCATTCAACTAAAGGTCTGTACCAAGACCTCATTAAATCGATCGTGCAAGCACGTGCTCGTTAGCCAGCGCCGGGGAGATCTCAATTACTCAGCCATCTCCACCATTATTCCGGATGCCAACAGTTCGACATTACTACAGCTACAAAGAATCATGACCAACGTTGGCCATCCAAATTCAACCTACCATGTAAAGATTTCACTGCCCAGAGCAGAGGTGGTCGAACCAGAGTTTGGGGCACTGACTTGGCACAACGGAACACATTATGTTCGGAGCTCAGTGGCAAAAAGATGGCTGCACCCATCATAAATAACTTCATCTGGCATCATTTCCTGAATATGATTTTATTTGTATCAATGACAAATGATAAAATGGCAAATCACAATATACAAATGTGATTTTAAGCCGGGATGAGATGACAAACCCCGGATCAAAGTTGGGCCTCGCCTTTGCTTCTGCCACCAAACTGCTCGCATCGCATTGCATGGAGATGGCGGAGATGGCCGGCGCTGCACACGAGCAGGTCGTAGATGCAGTCAGGCCAGCGGTGGACGTCCGCTCCGTTGGCGATCTGATGATGTTCAAGACTGTTACGAGAGTGATATTTTTTAGGAGAATAATAGAATTTAGGTGGTATGAATGTAAATAGTAATGTTTAGGTGTTAGATAAGTAATTAGGATAGTTTTAGATGTTATGTATGTAAAAATCCCTAATTTTAAACATATTGAGCTCTAAAAAATTTAGTATTTTTTTACCATATAATTTAACTAAAATGATATTTTATTTTCAAGTAAGAAATATTCTTACTTCATTGATATGGGACTAAGATTATTGTCTTGAAATACCATGTTCCAAAAAAGTCCATTAAAAGACTTTTGTTTTTAATACAAAATTTTTTATTTTTGCACTTGAATAGTTCTTTAAGAAGCAATAACTTTTTAGTACAAAAATTTTAATTTTTGTACAAGAATATGCTTTAAAAAATAATAAGAAAATCGTCTCAAACGAAGCTTTAATTAACTTTACTAATCCATAATAGCTTTTATTTTACATTGACTATCGAAACACATTTACTTGGCTACAACTTTCTTTGAAATATCTATGGCCACACTTTTTCACTATTAACAACTATTTGTTAATAAAACAATAATTAAAATGTCAGAGCATCTCCAACCGAACTCCAAACGATTGAATGGCGTCGCTCGCGAGCTCCAGTCGAACGTTAAAACTTCTGCTATTTGGTTGCACGTGAACAGTAGGACGCCAATATTAGCGTAGCACTGTTCATCTCCGCTATTTTTCGGTCTCTACAGAACTTGCCGAACAAACGAGCCAAAGAAGAAAACGACTGTTACCTTGGCAAAATGGAGTTCGGTTGGAGATGAATCACGACATTTTTTAGTTTTACAATATTTTGGAGTGAAAAATGAGATTTTCGGTTGGAGTTGCCCTGAGACTAGACTAATATACCAACTACGCACTTAAGCAATAGCTGTAATATCATAAAAAAGTTTAAAAGATATTACTTATGCTTTATCTAGCTCTGAAAATATATCAAGATATCAATGGTAATATTGGCACGTTTGCCGTTCATCTAACTCGGATATAAGGATGAAAGACTGATCAAACATAGTAGTTGGTCCTCTTTGAAGTTTTCTTAAGATTGTTGGATCCCTATATAAAGTTCTATCCATTAAGCTTTAAAATATTTAGATATTTCTTCTCTTAATTTGCTTAAAAAGAAATATAAAGTATTTCTTTCCAGGGAAAATTAAAATTTGGGTATTTGATTTGCTAAAAAAGAAATGTATAGTAAAATTTCACCGAGTTTCTTTTCACTTTCTAGTTCATTTTTTATGTATTCTAAACTCGCTAAGCTTTGACCAAATTCATTTTTCACCGCATACTAATTGCATTGTCACCGCCCCACCCACCGCCACCTTAGTAACTTCTAAGTAGGATTGTGTGGCTGACATAATAACATATTAGCTGTAATAAATTCCTGCAAATCTGGAATTAAAATGATAGTGCAAAATGCTGAGAGTAATTAAGAAAACTTTATTTTTCCAGTCTCATAATTTTGTTAGATAGAATGCGACCAATAAAGATCCTCAATACTTGGGAAAGTGAAAAGAAGCATGATGGTTTTATTTCTCATAGAAGGCCTTTCTTTTGGAAACTCTGAATGCAATCATCAAACATTTCGGTGATGGTCTTAAAAGATTTGAGCCCCAAGTCCTCCACCTTGTTGGTATTCATGCTGTGTGGATTACTATCTCCTTGCTTCTCATCACACCTACATTCATATTTTTCCTTGGTCAGTTCAACAAGTAGTATTATGATTGGAGCAAATTTTTCATAATTTTATTTTACAGACATCAGACATACATTTGTTTAGCTATAACTTCTTTATTTGTTTTTAAGAAATATGATGAATTGGTTGAGCCCGCCGACCCAAAATAGGGCCGACTCTATTAAAATAGTGGGCCAAGGTGAGGGTGGCGGCTGCCAAATTGAAAAGGGAGAAGAATTAAAGGAGTGGATCACTTATCAAAGGAGAATGTGGGGGAAAAATATGAAAGCGTAAATTCAAAAAAATAAGGATATATTAGTATTTTTGGGAGTAAAATAAGGAAAGATATATTAGGCCTTTTGGTTATATTTTTTTTCTTTATGCAGAATTTTGTGAGTGTTCTTGTCGTCCACTGTTTTTGTAAGGGATTCTACAACACCTAGAGTTATGGAGAGAAGATACTCATCTTGAAAGAGGACCATTGTATCTTACTAATTCATGTTTCCTTTCTTATCAAGAAAATATATTGGTTTGCTGAGTTTTAATTTTGTTCACTATTTTTGATGCTGAAGTTCTAACAAAATATCTATGACCGTGCGTTGTTTACCACCGAAATTGCTAGAATGTGGCAGCTACGAGAAAACTGTTCACCTTTTTATAGTGAGAAAATTTTCTAATACCGACAATACTTTGAAAAACTATGCTTTTCTGCCAATAGTTACACAACTAAAGACATATTTGGAATGACTATAGTTATTTGTAAAGTTGGTGGTGAAACTAAAAAGGTTACAGCCAAAGCCACACAGGGTTACTCAACACTAGCCCCAATGTATCCCAAATCATCTACACATGGGTGCCCACATGCCCTCACATGAAAAAGGTGCGATGGACATGGGTTGCGAGTGGTGTGACAATAAGAACGAGTCAAAAACCACCCTAAAAATCCTTAGTCACCACACCAAAATCACCCTAAGAGTACCACAATATCACAAAAAGATTAAACAATCTCATAGATTCTTACTTGTTGGGAATTGGGTAAGATGGATATTTGGCCCTCAGCATTTGTATAATCTCTGACCAATGTGCAACACTGCTTGAACAAATCAGCCTTCCCGAAGCTCTACTATTCTCCATTGCAAGCATGTGAGCAGAAACAACATCATCAATATGAACAAATCCTATTATCGTGTTTGGATATAAAGCATAATCTCCTGCATTATAGATAGTATCATTTGAATATTACATATAGTTTCCAGATCTTAACATAGTTGTAATCTATAATGTTGGTTAAAAAAATAACCTTTCATAATAGACAGTATCATTTGGAGAGTGCTTGTGGGATGGGCCGCTAGCAAAGGACCAACGACATATGATGGGTTCACAACTACAAGATCTGTGCCATATTCCTCTGCAAGTCTCCAAGCTTCCTTTTCAGCTAGTGTCTTCGCATATGCATACCATAGCTGCAATTTAATGATACCATATAAAATGAAAGTTTTTAAATAAGCAACTTCAATCACCTCTAATGGATCCTAAATCAAAGTTTCTATTGTCATTTAAAAAAAATAAAAATTCAAAGCAACTTTTAGAAATCTTTTCTTTTCTCATCCAAACAAACAATTTTTTTCAATGAAATGAAACCAGAAGTTGAAATAAGAAAGAAATAGACATACATTATATCTCTTGCAGTATTCAATATCGCTCCAATGTGCTTCATTCAGTGGAGAGACAAGAGTAGAATCATCACGATATCTTATAGCAGAGCAGGAAGAGGTGAGCACAACACGCTTGACTGAGCTTAATTTAGCACAGGATTTGAGCACATTCACGGTGCCTTTGATGGCTGGGGTAATGAGAGATTCCTGCACCAATTGTTATATAGTAAAGACCTGTTTGGTTTGTTGAAAAATGAATATAGTGTATTTGAAATATTTTAAAACAAATGTAGGATATTGCTTTTTTATATTTGGTTTGAAGTAAAATGAATAAACGGTAAAGTTCGGTGGCAAGCACCGCCCGACAGTCGGTCGTGACAATGCGGTGATAGCTTGTAGTATACTAAGAAGTTGACCAAATAGGCTGAGTTTTGAATACATCACAGATGACTTATAGGGTGAGTTTAGAATTCATTGAAATTTTATTACGTGTTCCTTTTGATTAAAACCAAACACCAATCTTTATATATTTACATATCTAAAACTTAAACATTTGTAATTATTTATATAAAATCTTAATGTCAAGATCATATTATCAAAATACATGCTTGAAAAAAAAAAACAATCAGCCTTAGAAAAGTTGATATTAGTGGGTTTTTTATGTGATTTAAGTATGTAGGTGTTATCTAAATTAATATAAGGATTTATGTATTAGATATATAAATGCATAAGAATTCATGTATACATAAATCTCCTAAAAAGAAAGTATGCGCTAAAAATCATAAATGAAAACTCATTATTCCTTCTCAATCCTTCTATACTGATACGCATACATATAGTTTCAGTTTATAATTACCTGAATATTTCCGCTGGTGAAAACAGGAGAAGCAGTGTGGAAGACTCCATCAACACCGTCCAAAGCCTCATCAAAGCTCCCCTCCACCAATAGATCAGCTTTCATCAATCTTAACCTCTCCTTCGCTCCATCCATACTCCATAAAAATCCAACCTTTTCCTCATCTCCTGCATATATCTCCATGGTCACAACCTATTAAACTTACAGGGAAAATTTACAGTGGAGATATAGAAAGAGAGATAGAAAGAGAAGGACCTGGGTCTCTAACTGTGGCTCGAACTTTGTAGCCTCTGGATAGAAGCTCTTTCACCAAGTAGGACGCTATGAATCCGGTTCCTCCGGTGACACAATACTCCGGCATAGTAGCTGTTTGGATACATGATTTAAGCAGCATTTGAGCAGGATTTGAGTCAAATCTTGCCAAACGGCAAAAAATGGCGTTTAGCGGATTTACGGGATTTAGCCGAAGAAGCGCGCGAAAGGGGTGAAAGATCGTTACCTTTGCGGAGCAGCTTCCTTTAGCGACTTTTTGCAACCTCCACTTCACTCCGAAGCACTCGAAGCGGCTGCAGCAACAAACACATGGAGAAGAGGAAAGCAAACTACACAACAAAAAGAATTTAAGGAAAAAAAAAAAGTAAACCGATCATTATGAGTGAAAATCGGGTTAGCACTTCAACTCAAATTCTACCTATTTAATAAACAGGTAGACATATGCAGCTCAAACCGGACCTGTTTATTTAATAGCTGAGGCAGGTGATACGTGAAGAGCTGAGTTAGGTGAGTCACGTGGTTTTTTTTTCTTATTTATTTATTTATTTACTTTCCTGGCGTTCGGAGTAGCTTCATATTGCTGAACTTATGATCGTTGATTTCACCTATAGTATATAAACTTTGAATTTTATTAATTTACCATATTTTTAACTCTTTTTTTTTTATTTTTACTCAAATATCTCGTTTTTTTTTTTATTTTTACAAATATTTCTATGGGTAATCATAAATATACTATTAAATAGTATAATATTAATTTTATAAATATTGACTTCTTGTAAATGTATGGCCGTGGACTGAGAATTTTTTGTTTTAGTGTTACACAAAAATGTTCATACGCTAATTAAAATAATATATTATATAATTAAGATTAGCAAAATCCATTATTCCCTTTAATAGGAGAAAACAATATTAAAAATAGTGTTTTGAAGGGATGATCGTCAACCTACAATGATCGAACAACGACGATCGAGCAATGACAATTAAGTGGTGATTGTTGAGAGATGATGGTCGACTGATAATAATCAGACGATGATTGTGAGATAATGACGGTCGTGCAACAATAGTCGGGTGACGATGGTTGTCGATGTTGATTTTTTTAGGTACCCGAGCTTTCCAGTTTTTTTAATTTTCCTTCATGTAAAAGTAGTGGTATATTTATAATATTTTGACATAACATTTTGAATATTTTAGTTAATATGTCCAAATATTCTATTAGATGATCTACATTATCAGTGAATAGAAAATTACTTAATTAATCTATAATATAATTTGGGTGATTAAAGTCACTTAATGGATGATTTATTATTCATTTTGGGCGGTTATTAGTTTTTATATAGGTAATTGTAAATATTTTATAGAGAAAACAACTTTTTATAAAGTAGTTATAGAAATCAACTTTCAAGCATAAAAATTTATTGAAAGCTATAAAAAAATTTGTGGCCAAATAAATATTATGGTTGCAGTTTGAAAAACAAAGCAATAAAAAGGTTGGCAAAAAAATAAGATTAAGATTTAAACTATTTAAATTGATTTGCACCTCTCCAATGGATAGATCCAATAAAAAGAATGATCTTTCCGTATATAAAGAGAATGATCGAACTGACTATCAGGACCTTCATGCTAACCCCAACACCATGATTCCTCTTCTATTTTCACATTAAGAGCTATCCTCCATAGTTCATATTTCATGCTAAAGAAGGCTTCATTTGAAACAGCTTTCTTACTGTTTCAGTAGTTTTTTATAGCTACTTTGAGAAGCAGTAAGAAAACCGTCCCAAACGAAACCGAAATCGCTTTGAGTTAAGATACGCGAATATGTTTAAGATAGCTTTCTTATTGCAATTGCAAACAAACCCTAAGTTAGATCATGTGATGTCTTTCTTTTTCATTCTTTTCATGGAGGAGAAATCTCATATCTCCCATGAGGTCCTCAAACTTCTTTTATTTCTATGTATGTAATATTTTCATGCAATGCTAAGACGATAAATTCTTTTCCGATTCCCCAAAATATTCTTATCAATACAACAACTCTCAAAATTATTAATTTTATTTTAAAATAAGTTAAATGTACAAAGAATCAACTAAAATTTATATTATACTGATCTTAATTAAAATGTTGTATTAATTTTGATTAATTCACCTAATTATTTGTACTCCAAATATTTTTTTTTTTCATGTAAATTTTTAAAAGTGTAAAAGTACTCCACGGCTGCATTATTGGGCAGTTGGGCCAATCCTTAGCAAAAAATAATAAAAAACTTCCCGCACCCGATACCCTTTTAAAAAGGCCCAAAGTAGCATCGGCCCAATTACTAATCCTTATAATATCTAATTTCTTAGTATTAATGTAATACGTATTGTAATTAATTAATTATTTTTTAATGCTTACCTTAAAAATAAATTAATGAGCTTAAAATTTATTATTATTATTATTTTACTCATTAAATTTAATGTAGTATGATATTAATTAATTATATTATTATTATTATTATTATTATTTAAGCTTGGAGTTATTAGTTGTATAAGTTTTGTACTTGAAGAAGCAGAGAGAGCTACAGAGAGAGATGAGAATAGCTGATGTCCTCCGTGAACGAGACGACGGCGATGACGGCATCTCCGGCGAGAATTTTCTCCCATCTTTTTCAAGCAAGAGCTATTCTGCTTCGCCAACAGCTGCCGCCGCAGCCAACGGCGCGTCTTCTTGGTCTATACTGTTCAGATGGTTTCGCAATCGTCGAAAACGTGCACCGGCCGCTTCAGGCGGGAAGCTGATCGGTCAGTGGTCAGCGACCGACGCAATTGCAGCCGGAAGTGTGGATTCCGGTGGGAGATTGCTTCCGGAGATCGGTTTGTCTTCAGGTTTTTGCCTACATTAGTCCCCGCTTCGCTGATATTTCGATTTCCGTTTTTACTTGATAAGCTCATGAATCATTCTCTTATTTCTTTGCTTGTTAAATGCTGAGTTGTACTGATTGGGTTTCTTAAAATGATTTCTACGGAGAATCGCCGGAGTTTTCAGTTGTAATCCTATTTTCCTGATTTGTTTTCTCACTGTACATTTTTATTGCAATTTGTTTTTAGGGTTTTAATGCTAAACCTATATTCCTGTTTGATTTAATTTCGCTTTCCAAACCCTCCTTTGAACAGTACAACTTTCTTCCTATTGTACCAATTTGTTTATTGCGGTTTGAATTGAATAGCTTATAATTGAATTAAGAAAACAATGTGGTGGGGATGTAGCGTAGAAAGTTGGGTGTAAATTTATTTTAAAATGAGTATAATAATTGATTGATTACTCACATTTTTAAATAATCCAAATTTTATGAATATATATATATATATATCAAATTAAAAGAATATACACATTAATTATATTTTGAGCCGATCTGAAGCTGATTATTCTTGAAGAACACATCAAGGCTTGTGGTTCATTATCACTTGGCTGGATTTGAGCTCAATTCAAACTAAAAATCGAGTCCTTATTTGAAGAAATATTCTATGTGGAGTCTGGACACAGCTCTACGTTTCGAGACGAATCAGGTGGTGCAGCCACGTCATCGGTATCGAGTCGTGATACTGAGCTACGGTACCGAGCGAAAGCATGATGTAGCGCATTCTGATTGGTATCTAGACAGCATTTGACGTCTGCCCAGAATAATTAATCCCTTATTTGAGCTACAAGCTCAACCCTACTCAAAATAATTCCATCCAACCAAGATAATCTGTATTTTGTAGTGCTCTGCATCTCTATGTTTCTTGTTGGCAAAACCTAAATTCTGCCAAATGAAATACTTTTTTCAGGTGTCAGACCCAATGAGATTGCCTTCAATCTTGGGATGGGAATAGGGTTGGCTTTCCTTCTGGCTGGGAATACCAATGAGATGAACAAAATGGTGGAGCTGAGGAATCAAATGGAAATGCTACTGAAAGAAATCAAAGGTGAAGTTCAAAGAAGAGATGATAACTCCTTATATACTTCATCGGATGTTAGTGAGGATGCAATTAGCACAGCCATTTCTATACAACAGAATAGTTCATCCTTGGAAATGGAAGATCCTAAACATTTCTCTGAATCTAATAGAGAAAACTATCAGTCACTTTACAACTTGAGAGGAATGGTTGAATTGGAAGCAGAGCTTCAACTTGAACTGGAACGAATGCAGCTTAAACTGGGAGAAGATGCTGGAGAGCACAAGATGAAGGAGGTAATGTATTTTTTTTTTTTTTTTAAATGCTAAGTTGGCAATGTAATCCTTATTTCATTTTGAAAAGAAACCAGTTGAAGAGTAAGAAGGTTGATTTATCTTCTGGAAGTAGTGCTTCAGCTTGGTATGACCACATGCCTGATGAAAATAGTGGAGAAAGCCATGGAATTTGTGCATATGATTTAGAGAGAAGATTGCATGAGCTTCTCCAAACAAGACAGCAAGAGAGGATAGAAAGTTTAGAATCCGCACTGGAGTTAGCTCAGAGAAAACTTCAGGAGAAAGAAGAAGAGTTGTGTTGTTGGAAGAACATTAGAGAACTTGCTACTGAAAATGATGAATCTTATTTCTCACTGAGCTTCAAGTAGTTAGTGTAAAGAGTTCTACATGTAAACAAAATGCTTCTTTGCTTCATATATATATTCTAAGGCTTCATTTGGAACGGCTTTTTTACTGCTTCTTAAAATAATTTTTTAATTTTTTATTAAAAAATTGCTTTAAGAAGCAGTTAAACAATCATCCCAAACGTAGCCTAAGTTTCTCAGTATGTATCTTGATTTGGTACTTTGCTATCCATACTCTGTCAATCTTTTGCACCTTGATTATCATTATGTTAAGTTGTGGTTGAGGAGTCTAATTAATATTATTTATATATCTTATGTAGAGACAATATGTCTATTGACTTTGGTGGTAATATTATTTCACGTGTAATTTTATAATTTTTAATTATAATTGTTAAAGCTATATTACAACAGACTAAAAAAAACATAAATTTCTCAAGAAAAGCTTCTCCATCTTATTAAAAATCTCCTATATATATATATATATACAATTGTTTTATTTATTGTTGTTTGATAGTGAAAGCAAGCATTTATATTGAAGCGAGAGGTTAAGGGTACAAAGAAAAATCCAGCATTAGTTGCCCATACGCTTTTTATGGCTATTATTTGGCCTGACACTGTGAATCAAAGATTGCTTTTGAATCAATAATTACTCTCTCACAGTACCATGATGAATATCAATTGAAGCGCATTAAATTAGTCCTGAGAAGTGGGTCCAATTAGCTGAATTTATGATGATAAATACTAACTAGCTTAAAGGAATCGAGCTTAATAAACTTTTGTTCATCTTATGAGTTCTTTTATCATTTTAAAAATCCTCATCATTGGCATAGGAGACCACCGATTAGAGAGGAAATCAGATGCAGAACGTCGTCTTGAGACCAATCAAAACGTGCCACATCAACTGAGCCACGGTACCGAGCATAGGGGTAACATGACGCATTCTAATTAGTGTCTAGACGATGTTCGGCATTCGCACAAAATAATTAATCTGAATAGACACGCATCTATTGACTTTAGTCACTTTACATACATTAATCCAATTAATTATTGTTAAGAGAGAGAGTAATGGCATATAAAGTGGATGAAAACAAGATACATGCCAACAGTTAGCATGAATTAGTATCTAAGACATCAACATGATTTCATTTACACATTCGCCTACAAAGGCCATCAAAAAAAGATTGGAAGAACATGCTAACAATAGACTGGCTAAACTCTAAATTCCTACCAAAAAATAAACCTTAGACGACCCAAAATCTCACAAGCGATGGATGGGTTATATTTACCACTGTGAAAATCAAGCCCAGTTCTCTATCTGCAGCCTACTGCCAATTTATTTCCTTCGTCTTTTATTTGTTTTTGCTGAAGAACTCTGTGAAAGATCATCCAAGTTTTCAATGGCAGAAACATTTGTATCAATTGTAGTTACAGTTCTCTTCCTCTTCCTCCTGCCTTTAGGATCTTCAATAGCCATGTTATCCAACTTGAGTGTTTCTTTCCCCTTTAAATTTTGATCGGTATCAATTATTAAACCATGCTTGAATGCAGCAGTAGTATATGGAACAGTATTATCTGAATCTTTTGTTTGAGAAGATTCAATCTTGATTTCTTTATCCTCATTGCTGGTGGTTTTCAGTGTTTCCTCGTTCAAAATTCTACTACTTTTTAAAGTTTCTCCTATTGGGTTAACCCTGGATTTTAAGGCTAATTTCCTCCTATCCTTGGATTTTCCATCTAATTTAGCTCCAGTGGAAGTACCAGCATCTACAAGAGTAGGATCATCCAAAGAATTTTTTGTTTGATGGTATTCAAACTCAGTTCCTTCATCCTTTGGAAGAGTATTTGATTTTTTTCCTAAAGAGTCACCTTTTCGCCTACCCCTAGATCTTATAACTGATTTGTCCCCACCTGATGCCAAAATATTATCTTTGATTATGGAAGTATCATCAGGAGTTTTATCTAAATTGTTGATATGAGAGGGCTCCTCCAGCTTGGTTTCTTCCCTGACTAAACTTTCTGGAGTTTTCTCGTACAATGATGTAGCTAGTTCTGAAGTTGTTTCTATGGGACTGTCTCTTGATTTAACGGTTGAATTTCCATCAACAGATTGCTGAATTTCCATATCCTTTGATTTCCTACCGAATTTACCTCTAATAAATGTAAATAATACAAATTCTTATAAACTTGATAAAAAATAAAGTGCTATAAAGGTGAGTTCCAACTGACCTTTCTCTGTTTGATTTCCTTTTTCCTGAACTTGCTCTCCTCCGCTTCTTCCTTGGCCTGGAGATAACAAACAGAATAAAGAGTAATCAAGATTTCAGTGAATTCCTGCAATAATTTTCATTTGATTGAGGAGAAATTTTCTTTTAAAAGTATATAAATAATAGCATAAAAGTTGAAAGGCGATAGAAAATGGGAAACAAAATGATATAAACACATAGAGCAGATCTCACATCATGTCTTAGTATTATACACATCATCCCTTAAATAGATTGTGCAGGGCTCATTTCCACTCAACTAAGAAGGCAAGAGCCTTATAACTTTCGATCAGAGTACAGATGTGCATATCAATAGAATAGCTTGCTAGAAGATGAAGTTCGTAAAATTACCACAAAGATTTTTTTTTCTTCTTCAAATTTATCACAAACATTACTTTAATAAGAAATAGATGTAGCAAATACTTCATAAAATCCCTTTTGGGAACTCAACATCGCAGGGCTTAATTGAGTTTCAACAAGATTTTGGTTGAAATATTTAAAAATTTGTCCCACTTACGACTTTACCTTAAAAAAAAAAAAAAACCTAACTTTGGCTAGATGATAAATTTCACACTAAAAATGTTTTTAACTTTTGTTGGTCAATAAAGAAGAATTATTCTTTCGCGTTAAGTAAAATTAGGGTGTCCTAATCAGTAGTATCAAAGCCAACTATTTGGAGAATAAAGAAGAATTATTCTTTCGGGTTAAGTAAAATTAGGGTGTCCTAATCAATAGTATCAAAGCCAACTGTCCTTACCGTTAATTAAAGTGCATTTAAAATTTGAACGAGGGTTTTAGTTGATACACAACACATTATTTGAACTCATACCTTATTCATTAGAAGGTAAGGGTCTTCAAGATATTTCTACAATGTCAAACACTCTTCACAAGTTCAAGTCCTGAAATGAAAAAATTTAGAGGATGATAACTTAGCACATAAATTTTTATCTAGAGCGAGTTTAACGATTGATAATGGGTAGCAATATAAGTTAGGTGCCACTAGCACAGAGTCAAGTGACAAAACTTTTGAAAGAATAATATAACCTATTCCAACCACTTTTGATAGTAACCCTAATTTTCATGATAGGCTATAATTATGGAAGATATTATTGCCTACAAGAGTACAATTATATGATCTAAGACTCCCCAATCTACTATCCAAGTAGTAATTTTCTTCTTATTTACAAAACGAATGTTAATTTTTTGAGCAACCAAGTTTATTCAAGTGATATTCTTAAATAAGCTTCTCTATGAGAAGAATTAGCAATCTTTGATTTGTTATACGATTGAGAAAGAGATGAGAGAACTATTATGATTTATCTGTGTTGCTAATTCTCTTAGGATTTTTTTAGTCCATTATTTCATAATGAATTTTCTATATTTCGGATTTGGATTTTCCATGTTGAGTTTGATTTCTAGCATTGTCAATTTCTTGGCCATTGGCTTCTTTGTGACAATTGCCACTATCTTCTTTTCAGAAAGATCATTGATGGGGACATCAGCTCGTGGAAGGTTTATCAGAGGCGTGGCCGCCGATCTACGGCCACGATTGAGTCCTTATATTTCTGAGTATTTATGTTATTTTTCTAGTCATGTATTTTTCTATTTTATTGCTTCATGTATTTGCTTTTAGTATGTTTCCAATTGTACCCTCCTAGTGGGGATTATTGTTTGTAAGCCCAAAGGGCAAGAGTGACTTTTATTTTCTTAAGTCCTTGTACTTGGCTATATATAGCCTCCTCTATTATCTTTTGAGCTTAATGAATGATTGATTAGAAAATTTTCCTCTTGCATGAGTTTTGTGAGAACTTGAATGTTCTAATGGAGAGAGATCCCTAAGAGAGAGAGATTTGCGCATCACCCACCAACCTTGATAAGTCGGGAAGGCGTCGAGTGGAGGATCTCCATCACTACTTGAACAAGGTTCTCTTTCCCCTGGCATATTATCTCTGTTAGTCTAACTTGTCTTAGTTTGATTGCAGTCACGGCAGACCTCTCTTCTTTGCTCATGCTAAAGCTTAGTAAACATAAGGTTTGAGTGTACCTTTATGTTTTCTAATTCTTGTTGTTAGATTAGGGATTTCTTTGAAAACTACTACTTGCCATTGTATTGTTTTCTATTTATGTTAGAAGTTTCAGAACTCTTGTCTTGTGATTTAGCCTAAGCGAGTGTGACCCTATTGGTTTTGATTCATTGTTTTGAATTGCTAGTAGTTTTGTTATAATATTATTCTAATCACGAGTTGTGCAAAAAATCCAATTGCTTAATATCATTTTCCATAAGTAGTCCTGCATCAATCATTCACATATATTTCATCACCCTATTTGGACAATACTAACTTTCAATGTTGGTGAAGGACCAATCAACTTGGAGGAGAGACTTCATATTGAATGATTCATCCACCTCACAAGGAAAAAACTTTTAATGTCTTTGATTCTATCTTAAAAAGAAGAGAGGTGAGTATAAACTGAGAGATTTTAAGTCGGAATTTTATTCTCTTGTGTGTACAAAAACATGTGAAGATGTATGCAAATAAGTGTAAAAAACCTACAAATAAAATAAATTAATCTAAAACAACAACAACGACAGCATAAGCCTCTGTCCCACTACATGGGGTCGCTATTTAATCTAAAAATCAATCTTTAATTCCAGAATCTAAACTTAGGTACCCGAGAAAAAATGGAATATTAATGTTCACAAATTGATGGATTATTATAGACAAAAGCTGCTGTCAATAAATTATTTGATTGTTATTGATGGAAAGGTGATGATCATGGATTAATGATTACTTCAACACATTAGAAATATAAGAAAGCTTGAGAAAAAAAAAAGGAAAAAAGCTAAATAATATATGAAAGATGAGAAATGCAAGCTTACTGTACAATCAATATTTTCAACGAGCTAATCACATTGCAATGCAGAGGAGTTCAATTTTGCTTCAATGCGTAAAGTACAAAGCAAAGATATCCTCTTACTAACAAGAGCATTCAAGGGTTATATATCATCCATACAAGTATTATATGCATGGAATAATTGTTTGCTAAACAAACTTAAATCACTTCACATAATAATTTTTCAGCAACTATAATGATACAATGAATAACAACAAATTTCACTTATTCGAAAGCCAAAAAAAAAATCAAGATGCAATTATATAAGTAATAAAGTGATATAATACTTAAAAAACAAGAGTGCAGAGAGTGACTAGCTAGAGCCCTAGAAGCGAAGGCAATGCCAAGAGAGAAAATTTGTGTAAGGATAAGACATCAGGAAGGCAGGCAAGTGAGCATTAAAAGAAGAACAGCTAAGAAACTACTAGCTCAAGCCGAAGAGAGCGAAGAACCAATGAAAAACAATTCAATGGTCACGAGAAATAATTAGAGAAAGCAAGTGATTGTGCCTAGTCATGAAAGATGTTGAATAAAATCATAAAAGATGAATTAAGATTTCACTCCGAGCAGGAGTGAGTGTGCAACGCTATGACACAACATCCCAAAGCAGTGCAACAAGCGTGCTTAGTTACAAGCTCATGCTTCACTAGCAAGCCATGCATAGAACCAGTGCATAACTTTGTTGCAATCATACAAAGTGCTTTTAACAACATTCAATACAATGATGTGATGGAAAGCAAGATCACAAAGGAAAGCGCTTCATGAACAAAAGTATGGGAAAAAAGGAGACATTCAAAGCAGTGAAGGATAAAGAACATAAGTTAACAACAAAAATACAAAATCAGTAACAATAACTGATGGAAGAACAACCAAAAAATTAAAAACTTAACGGAGAAATGCACTGAACAGTGATTTCATATAAGCAGGGATTAACTCCTATATTGAAAAGCCAATTAAATTTGGCAGGTCAGTTGATATACATCACTAAGCAGGTAGAGCCTGGAATTATTGAACATAATGACAGAAAGCAAAAACAAGTGACCGAGCTTAGCAGGCTAAATGAACCGACTAAAAAAGATACTCACGCTTGTAAAGAAGATTCTGGGCTCGCAACATCATTTTCCAGTTCCTGTTAGAATATCAGAGAAGTGGAGGCTCAACACTTTTGGATGCAATGGAAACATAGAAAATGAACACAGTGACAGTAAATCTACCTTTTCAAAATTCTTGGAATCAACATAATTCCAGCGCTCATTCCTCAAAAATAAAATCTCCACGTCCCCATCATCATACACAACCTGTGCCGTGAAAAAGAAAACTACTGATATATTCTTCAAAAAAGCATATAATTTGTGCGCAATCCACAGGTATAATTAAAGGTACAATTGGTATACTCTTCAATACCCTGTGCTTCTCAGTTACTGGATCAAATGCATCAATCACACCTTTGTAGAACCTACAACATAAATGTCTAACATTAGGAAGACTAAAATAATTTAAACAAAGAATATTATTTGGGGGATACATTATCTGGCGTAAAAAAAGTTATGATCTTCTTATGTGTAGGACTGTCTAAATGCCATTTGCTATATAGAATGATTGCTAAAATTTGATTAGTTGACATCATCACTAAGGGATGCCAATTAGAAATTAGCATTGGCAATTATCTAACAATGCATCATCATCTACATATATCAAAACTATAATGCTAAAATTTGATTAGTTGCTTGAAATCTATGATAGAGGAAAAAATACTTACTTCATTAAAGTTATGTTGTATACTGCAACAGGAATACAAAAAACTAGTGCACACACCAAAATAACATCAAAAGCATGGGGCTTCCCATAATGACAGGTTGAATGAGGGTTGAACTAATTGTTATCTCAATAGTAGATGGGAAAGCTCCAATCAATAGAAAATCAGATATTACTGTAGGATACATGTGTAATTGATGACATGGATAAAGAAAGGTATATAAGAAGCGAACCTTTCATTTCCCGGAAAAAAAAAATACATTTAGCGATGGTATTAAGTTCTAATTTGAATAATTCACCATAATTTTCAAATTATTCAGAGCCCCTTCCTCCCCCATTGGAATATCAAAGTACTTTCAGTGATGCAAGTTGAAAAGAAAAATGCAAAATGGAAATATAGGAGTAAATGATGTTATGAAATTATCTTAAGCAATATATGGAGTAATAAGAGAATCAAGAGTCGGAATATTAGCCATAGTTACATAGATTTTAATGCCAAAGCAATAATTAACACTTCAAAGTAAAATATCAAATTGAAGCAGTAGAACACTTGCAGAAGAGCTTTATAAGCAAGGACCAAAAACATTTCGCCCCGATGCTAACAAAATTAGAAAACAAAATAAGTCTCATCTTACTTCTTATCATCAGGCCACCACACTTCTATCTCACGACCAATAATCTCCAAATATAAGTTATATAGTCGAGGGGCCTGAGAATGATAAAAGAAACACTTAGAATCTAATCATAACATATGTCAAATCAAAATTTGCTGAAGTTAAGAAAAATTAAACAAAGATCAGCATACTAAAACAAAGCAATGATTGCATTTAAAGAGCTCCACAGAGATTTTTGCAAGTATATTTACAGTGCAAGTAATAATCAAGTTACTAAAGGATAGCACAACCAATCAATTAAAATGGATAAACAAAGTGCAAATCCTAACTTGAGCTTGCACAAACCAATTTACTAATGACCATAGCACGTATTATAGATACTTCAATAGAGGTAACATAACCGTTATTAGTTCATATCTAAAACCAAGTTTAAAAACCGTGACTTAGACTACTTTTGATGATTAAACTTAAAACATTCAAAACTGTAGAATAATATTCCATCAGATACTTCATGCAATATATTTATACTATATTTAACGAATAATTCAAATAAATACATTAAACAAATAGTACATGGGACAATCTCACATGTTATACTAGTTTATTGTTTTAAAATGTCTGCAAACAAATACACACAACGTGTGAGTGCGTGTCATATAAGCATAACAAGGCATCTTGATGCGGACGTGTGGGTGAAATCCATAGATATTGATTTACTATGGGAATTTAGAGGGCAAAGTGGTAGAATTGAGAGAAGCATGAAAGAGAGAGCAGAGAAAAAGAAAATAAAGAGAGGCATATAGAGTAACGATCAGGAAAGGAAGTGTCCAAAACATTGCAGAAGAATCCAGAGAGCCAGGGGGTGTTTAGTAGGAGAGAGATGGAAACAGGAATTCGGGAGAAAGACTAACAGTTGGGGCTAAATGAGGGTAGGGTTGTTAGCAAAAAAGAGAAGGGGGTGAGGTTGGAAGATAAAGGAGTCGATAACATGAGGAAGGGTCTATCCAGTGCCTGGGAAGAAATTGTTGTACATAGCCGTGCCACTATATTTATAGAGAAACTAGATCCATGACTCAAAACAAGACCTAAAAAGATAATTCTTCAAATAATCATAACAAGACTTAGGTCCCTTTCATATAAAAATAAGAAAACTCATAGGAACATTTGCATAAATGCTCCTAACAAAAACTAAAAATTAATTTAAATAAATCAATTAAAAAAAGAAAATAGCATAATCACCATAAATATAATTCTTCAACTAATAAAGCCAAAAAATACTGTCGTGATCGGGGCAATCACCAGTAATTCTCTTGGAATACAAATAACTCTCCTCTACAAAGTTAGGGGTGCTCATCAAGCATACTGAGAAAAAAAGGCATGGAACTCATCATGTATCGCCCATCACTCATCTGAAATTGGACAATGTTGCAAAACAAAAAAGAAGCAACAATGCTTGCTGAAGAGATATAATGTAATCCCATTATACAGAATCTACTCAATTTTTAATATGTGGGTGGATGAATTGAAACTATTGTTGCAGATAAGGATGCAAAAACTAAACTTCGAAATATGTAAGAAAGTTTGAAGGTTTGCTAGTCAATAATTTACGTTTTATGTATTTTTATTTTTTCATAATATTGGATGCTATCTATTTTATTTTTTTATTATCCTATGATGGAAAATAACAAATGATCATGCTCGGGTATGTACTCGGGTTGGCTCATACCATTGAGTTTGATCTTACTTCCCCTCCCCTCTTTGGCTGTTCGGGTTTCCCCTTGCTGATTTGGTTGTTTAGGATTCTTCCCCTCTCCTTTTGGCTGTTCGATTTTTCTGGCTGCTTGGATTTTTCCCCTCCCTTTTGGTGGTTGGGTTCTTCATTTTTGCTGATTTGGCTGCTTGAGATTCTTCCCCTCTCCCTTTTGGTGGTTGGGTTCTTCACTTTTGCTGATTTGGCTGCTTGGAATTCTTACCTCTCCCTCTTTGACTGTTCAATTTTCCCCTTTTGTTGATTCTTGTGCTTAATGTTTCAGCTTTTCCTTTGAGAGCTGATTTGGTTTGTTTTTATTGGCTGAAATGTTGGCTCATTTAATTGAACAATTAAATGCCCCTTTCCCTTCCTTCTCCTATATAATGTGGCTGAAATTCTCTTGTGGAGAACAATTTTTGGAGAAGAAAAATTCAACCTAAGGGATCTTCATGGCTTGCGAGCTAGTCTTTCCCCTATCCCTTACTACTTCCTCTCGGTCTTCTAACTACTCCATATTGTTTCCCTTCCACCTGATCTTTCTAACCTAAATATTGTGAGTTGTGAGGTGGTGTTGTTACCCTATTTTGTTGGTATTTACCAGAGTGCAAACTTGTGCCTAATCAAAAATTCAATGGTGGATTACTGGTTAGATCTTTTCTTTAAGCACCTTTCCCTAGTTTTGTAAATTGCATGTGAGGTAACCAGTCGTGGTTGTTTTGAGAGTTGCTTTTGTTTATGTGTTTTATATCTTTCTTTCCTACGTAATTTTTCTAAACAGTTTCGAATGTTTGTTTTCTACCAAGTCTTTGGGTTTGTGTTTATTTATATGTTATTGAAAGGAAGTTTCTTGATTGCATGCCTAATTTTTCTCCTAAAAAATTTAGGAACTTAGGTTGCATCACAAGTGCTCATGCACGACAACAAATCTTAAATATTTGGAGTCAGACTAATGTTCATGTTCGCATGACAATTAAAACATATGCATTGGGTCTAAGCTTTCTGAGTATTTTATATAGACTGGTGCTCGGGCATGAAGTTTTTTAATTATATTTCATGGAACGGAGTATAGAGGAATCCAAACTAATAAATAATCACTTCCTTTATATCTCAAAATTTCTCATGAACATCCGCCACTATTTTCTATTCCACATTTAACAAAGCAATTTGAATTTCAATATCATAATTTTAACTTATTCACATGCTTAACAAAAGATGAAGCTGAATCAAAATATGCATGGATAGGTGAAGTAAGAGATCTGGCAAATTCAATCATATGAAACCAATTGCCCAAATTATTGCCAACAAGACATTCTAACAAGTTTACAAATAATTGACAAACCTTACGGCTTACACTCACATGAAGTGGAAACACCATGAACAAACATTCTCTATAAAAACCAACTTCACTTCACTACTTAAGAGGCGTCCTCTTAAAATATGGAATAAAATGTGTTATTTTAGAAAAAACAATTGACTAACAAGATTATAAAACCATGGCAACAATCCTACTAAAAATCAGAGTTGATATCATGCACATAATTCACTTGGTACAATCAAAGAAACATATAGTCTGATTTTTTACGTGTCTAACTCACGCAATTGTCATGTTTCACACTGACCTATGATCCAAGTGATGCAAGAAGGTTTAGGGGAAAGGTTTTTTAATGCAGTTATTATGGTGCATTATATGAAGTCAAGTACGAGAATTTGATATTTCATAGATAGATCATAAACTATTTCATTAAACGTGAATACAAGAATTATAACCCAAAAGATAATGAAATAATATAAAATATTTCCAGAAATAAGCAAGAATTTTAAACAACATAAAATTCACAAGCAATTGCAATTAATTTGGCACAAACTGAATTTCATTTGTGTCAAATTTAAACAAAATCAAAAGCATTAACAAGCCTATATTAAATTATATGGACTAAATGAGAAAAAAGAACAAACTCACCAAAATCAAAAATAAAAACTATCTCATGCAAGTACAAGGACATGGCTTCTCCTCAAATTCAATACAAAGTTGTACCACACACCCAACTTCGACACATAAGATTGAAAATTTGAAGGGAATATTTTTATTCAATAGAAGTTGTCAATTACATGCTTCAAAATATTATGCATGAACTCTTCATCCCATGGGCTAATAGATATTGTTGGATAATGATCAACACACTTCAAGTTTAAATCAACATAAAATTAATTTCAATAATAACTAAAACTCCATAAATCCATATTCTCAAATAGCAAGCCACAACAAGCCCACAAGAGATATCATAAAAACATTCACCCACTCACTCTAGCACCGTAGCTTCCGCAAACAAATCAACACCAAAAGATAAATCAGATCAAGTTTCGGGTCAGAATAAAGCATCATCAATAACCAGCAAATGCCAAAAATGGGAGGAATAATGAAACCAACTCAGGAAGCCAAATTTAAAAAACAAAGGGAGATAACTAAAAAATATCGCTGCCTAAAGAACAAATCTACATTCCGCTACACAAAGGAGGATTCCAACTATTGCATGCATCTAAAACTCCAAACACCAGCCCGCACACATCGAATAACAAATCATAACTAACAACAAGCCATCCATAAACCGCAACCACTACTCAGTTTGGACATATCCAAAATTGAAACCATGTCAAAGCATATGGATTAATGTAATTCTTAGAATAAAAATGCATCCCTCTAAGGGCCATCATCTCTGGCATGCTTTTAAATGTAAAAAATAACAAATAAAATAAAAGCTATGATGCACCGACACTTCTCCTCAAAAAGGCGAGCAGTGTCCGACACCGTGTCCGACACGACACTCGTCCGACACTCCTCCAACACGTGTCGGACACGCCGAAAACCTGTCCGATTAAAAAAATATTAAAAACAATTGGACACGCGTGTCGGACACGCGTATCTTAAATATTTTATAAATTTTTTTAAAATATAATTTCTTATATTTGGCGATATTTAAACTAAATTTCCTATTTCCTATCCACAACACCAAATCAATGTCTGCATTTAATACACATTCATCGAATATTCTCATTTTTATTTCTCTTTGGCAGTGAAGGTATTTTCATCTCCTCTTTTTTTGCATAATTACAAATCTTTCTCTTGTTGAACCAGAGTTGAAAGCAGTAATATTCAATGATGATGATATTGAAGATCAAAACAAACCTCTAAAGCTAATCATAGTAGTTAAAGCTTGAATGCTTGATGTTGTAGTAAGTGATTATTTACTTATATTTTTGTGGTTGTACTAGATATTTTGTACTAAATATTTTATATTATAAGCTAGACAAGTTATCATGTCATTCATTTATTATTGTTTGTCATTTTTAATATAATATTACATTAATATATATATAATATATAAAAAATGTATTGCCGTGTCCGCGTCGTACTCGTGTCCTATATTTTCAAAAAAAGCCGTGTCCCGTGTCCATGTCGTGTCGTGTCCGTGTCCGTGCATCATAGAATAAAAGTAAACCAAATAATGAAAAACAAATAAATTATGATAAAATCACTGCTTGATATGATGCTTTCACTAAGAACAAACATGGAGATTTTCACCAAAATCTACCTGGCTTCCATAAATTTAACTATAAAAAAATTAACATTTGATATTTATCCAATAAATTAAGCCAAAAATTTTATGCACCCTACAAAGTAAATTATGAATCATCAAGAGCAATTTATTTCATCAATGAACAAGATATCTTTGGATCCTACTATTAGTAGTACACACAATCTTATATACATAATAGCCTAAAAAATAAGTAGCATTAAGGTAAAGGGTAGAGAATTAAATGTGAGTTCACATGGAATAGGTGAAAAGAGTAATTAATCTAAAATATTGATAATAGGCTCATATGTTCAAATTAGATATATTCAAAACTAAATTTAGACTACATTTCATGAAGTTTCGAATATCAAAGTGTTAGTTCAAATGCATGGCAAGATTTTAAATGGCTACGCCTTTCTCACATTAAATTTCTTAAAAGTCACAGATGGAAGTCTTCATGAATTTCAATGCACCAAAACTTCATCACTAGGTTCAAACTCCATACACCTCTTATTCATGCCAACAAAAAGCATGTAAGTGTTGTAATAAGTATCCATATGCACATGAAGCAAACCATGCGGATGACTGATATAATTTATAAACAATCATCTAATTTTTAATTAACTTTATCAAAAATTTCAATCTTATTGACTTCTTTAATCTGTAGGAGATCCTTTGTGAAATTTTGGTGTATATGTTAAAATGTTATGTTGAATGTAAGATAAACCATAATTTAAATTGTATAATTTGATACTATAGGAGGCTATATTAAGAATGATGAGATTGTTCTTTAAATGTTAAATCCTTATATCTCCAAATGTGATGATATGCAAATAGTTATCATATATGCTTTAAAATGATTCTATGATGCTTAAAATGGCATAAAGTCAATTGGTCAGTGCTTAATTAAATAAGTTTGTATGTTGGCTAATAGATTATGCCTCATTCTTCTTAGTGTAAGTTAAATGGAGACTTAAGTGCACTTATTAAAAAAAAAATCTAAAGGTGATGATTACGATAATAAGATGATAATAATAATAATTTTATTATTATTATTATTATTATTATTATTATTATTATTGTAGATTTCAAATTTCATAGACAACATGCAAATACAATAACATTATGCCCTTGCGATTGATGTATTAAATAATTACAATAAAGTACAAGGTATGAAAATGATAAATTATAATATGAAATGCTATAATTCATGTTCCCGCTATTAAAGTTAAGTTTAATGCTTACTAAATTAGATTAAATAATTTGGGACTAAAATTATTAATATATATTTTTGATGAGGTGACAGCCAACTGACAGCGGGCTACAAGTAATAAACAAATCAAGAGGCTACTGAAAAGGGGAAGAAAATGAAAATAGGTCTTTAAAATATAATGAGTTCTTTGAATAATTAGTAAAAATGTGAAAACTTACTTTTCTTCGACCCTTCTTTTTCAAATTTCCTCCCGCAAACTTAACCCAACGATTATGGTCATTATGTTCTTCCCTTGAAGCCTTGGACGAAGCCATCATTTCCTGATTATGCAGTAAAAGATGAAATTAATTTTTACAGAATGCAATTAATAAAAACTTTCCAACAAGCAAAAGAAAGATAACATTTACAATGTAGTGAGACGCAACTACAAATTCAGAGAAATAAATCCAATTCACACATCAAGAAACATTCGTCTAAATGATTTATTCATAGAAAATAAACTTAGCCAAGAGAATATGTTGTACTCCAGGCTCCCGTTAACAAAGTTCAGAAAGTCAATACAAACTTCCAGCAAACAATGGAATAAAACGACATCCCTAATACAGTAAATCGCAGCTAGAATCAACGGGAACGTTAAGTTCACACATCAATAGATATCAACATTAGAACAAACGTGTTACTGAGTAAAAATTAGCCCCAAGAAAAGATAGAGCTGCATGTTCTAAAAAAAGTTATGAAAGTAAATAATTAAAAATGTAAAACAATTCAGCATTCTATGCGAAATGAAATTTTAAGATTCCAGATTAAACAATATATGTAACATAAGACAGCAAATCACTAGAATTTATTTTCCGTCAATTACTCAATATTAATGAGTAAAACAAGAAAACGTGTTATGAGCATTAATTCAAATAAATTAATTCATAATTTGGATTTGAAGCCCTCTGGTTAATTAAAGCAATGCACGTAAACAACTTCTTTCAGATCAAAACTACAGCCAAGATTTTAGATTTCCACATAGTACTAAGATTTTTTCTCAATTTTGTCACCAAACTCTCATAAGATTAAATGCACATAAAAGACAATTCAAGAACATAAGCTCCCTGCATTAATCTTAATCTACCAGGTACCTTCAGACACGGTTCTGCAGATAAATCCTTGTCAGTGACATCTAAGGGCTCTGGCCTATTGGTATTGGGCTTCCCCTGGTTTTCGAAAGTATTTGCATCAGCGACCAAACTTTCAGTTTCCATTTTTTCTTTCCTCAAAGACTTTCCATCACAGACCCCAGTTACAGCCAGTTCAGCTGAAGCATTGTCTGCTAGTGACTTCTTCGTAGAATCCTGTGAAGGTTCCCCATCCGAAACACTTACAAGAAAATGATCCTTATGTATGGAAGCAATAGCCGGTGGATCTTCCTTCTTAACTATAGTGAGTCCAGACATTTTTTTCTGTTCTGCAGAGGGGGCAGGTTTATGTGATGTGCTTCTCTTTTCACTAAACTCTGAATTGGTGACTCGCTTCCTCATAGGAAGACCACTGACAGGAGCCTTATAAGTAGGAGCAGCTGAATTAACACATGAATTATCACCATCCAAGCCCTCAAGCGGCTGAAGTTCTGCCTCCCTCTCACCCTCCAAAAACACTTCAGTTTCTGTCACCATATCAGACGCACCATCAGATTTCAAGCTTTGAATTTCCTTCTTCCATCCAGCTCTCCTACTAGGGGGAGCAGAAACTTCTTTATCATCTACCCAAGAACTATCACTAGCATCTGTCAACTGCACGGAGGACAATTTTTCTTCTACAGACTGAAAATTTAGCTCATTACCAGGTTTTTCAGTAATGGAGCCTAAACTATTATGCTCACCACTGGGGACTCCATTTCTACATTGCTCACTGGAAAAGGAATTCTCAGGCTTAAGTTTGGGAGAAATTGGATCTACAACAGCATTTCCATTACCTAATGGCACGACACCGTTGCTCAGCACCTTTCTAGCTTTATCAGAAAAGGCACCTACCTCTTCAAGATAATTTACAGGTTTATCCACCTTCTCAGTTTCCTATGCAAGAGAAGCAAGCACACATAAATTATTCTAGTTTACTCATCAAATATTTGAAAGAAATTAACAAATCAGAAAAAGTAAGCCAAAACCACATGCCTGAGGCAATGCATCAGATACAGCCTTTTCAGATAATTTGTTTCCATCCGCCTACAAAAGATAAATCAATCATCCATGAGAACCATTCATTGATCTCTCATAATTCAATCTGATTATTTCACTATATATTAAAAAGAAAATTACACTGCAATGAATATAATAAAAGTACTTCAAGACAAACATGTAACACAAAATAACATGTATAGAAGAAGGAATAAGCTTAATTACAATGCCAAGAATCCAGATAAATAAGGATAAACACATGTAAAAAATAAAACCAATGGATTTTGATGCAACTTACAAGTGTTGATCCGGGCCATACATAATTGGTAAATGACATGATATGCTCTCAACAACTTCATTTGAAATAATTTTATAGATCAAACATAAAAAAAACAGCATTATAGCGAAAGAAAAAAAAAAAAGAATAAACATTAAGAGCCCCAGGTTAACATGGCTACAAACATCAAACAAACCCCCACCTATGTTGCACCGATACGGATACGGCGATAAGGATACGACACGATACGGATACGGGACATGCCAATTCTTAAAAATACAGGATACGGATACGGCATGGATACGGCATTATAATATATAAATAATACATAAAATTTTGAAATTAATCAAAGTGTAATATTTGAAATGACAAAAAAAATTGAAATAAAAATAAACATTAAATATTTAAATGTCTAGAACAACAACAAAAACAAGAAAATAAATTATCCAGCACATGAAATTTCAACTATTCATTATCCTACGAAGGATCAACACAATTAATCCACATGAATTTGAAACATGAAAATTTTTAATTAAAAGTGTATATATGTTGCGCCTATGCCGGGGGTCCAAAGGGGCGATGCCCCCTGGCGGGGTTCGACCTGAGCAGTACCGAGCGGTACCAAGTTCCAGTACCGAGTACCGAGCAATACCGAGTACTAAGCAGTACCGAGCGGTACCGAGGACCGAGCGGTACCGAGGACCGAGCGGTACCGAGGACCGAGCGGTACCGAGTACCGAGCGGTACAGAGTATTTTTTTAAATAGGACATGCGTGTCCGATCAAATTTAAATAATATTTTAATTGGACACATCTAGTACAATAACAAAAACAAGAAAATAAATTGTCCAGCACATGAAATTTCAACTATTCATTATCCTACGAAGGATCGACACAATTAATCCACATGAATTTGAAACATGAAAATTTTTAATTAAGAGTGTAAATATGTTGCGCCTATGCAGGGGGTCCAAAGGGGCGCTGCCCCCTGGCGGGGTTCGACCTGAGCAGTACCGAGCGGTACCAAGTTCCAGTACCGAGCAGTACCGAGCGGTACCGAGTACTGAGCAGTACCGAGCAGTACTAAGCGGTACCGAGTACTGAGCGGTACCTAGCAGTACTGACCGAGCAGTACCGAGCAGTACCAAGCGGTACCGAGCAGTACCGAGTATTTTTTTAAAATAGCACACGTGTCCGATCAAATTTAAATAATATTTTAATTGGACACAGCACGTATCCGTGTCGTATCGGAGGCGTATTCGTATCCAACATGTGTCCGATACAGCATGCCTCATAAATAGGCGTATCCGTGCAACATAGACCCCCACCATCGAACTTTTGGAATAGTTAATTGGGTCAATGAACTGGCAAAAAAATGAAGAGAATAAATGCTCATATTCATGTAAGTATTATTAAAGGCTAATCAAGTGCTCAACTAGGTACTCGAGCCAGGAAAGGTCAACACACATCTCTAGCAAGAGCCAATACAAGCATGCTGCCTAGGCAAGAGAAATGCCTAAGGCATCAGGCAATGAGGTGAACACTTTGACTTGATTTAACTGATGGTTGCTTCTACTAATACTTCAAATGTTGAGGATGAGCTATTTTATTATGGTGATAACTTGGCAAAGAATGATGTGAAAAGAGAATCATGAGTTCAAGAAATAAGCATGGTCACATGGAATTAAGATGAATAAAGGTGGGCGAAAAAATTAAGTTTTTATAAAGGAAACTTGCACAAACCCTATTCATTGAAATAAAAGAAGTTTACAGTAACAAAAGCAATGACAACAATGTGAAAATAGTTATAAAAAGAGTTCAAAACTAATTGAAGGATGAGAAGAGGTCATTGATATCCCAAAAAAGTGCATGTCCTTCAAAATACATTTGAAGGTATATATTAGAGTCTAAAGGTTTTCGCTTGAGTGGATCTAAAACGGAATATATGGAGTGTAATTTTAGCAGTAATAGTCCTAGTGAGGGGATTGTGACTTTGGGTGATCAAGTCATTAATAAGAGTACACATTTTAGATATCTTGGTTCTATTGTTCATAGTGATGGTGAAATAGATGGGGATATTATCAGTAGAATTCAAGTTGGATGGTTGAAGTGGAGGAATGCATCGGGCTTGTTATGTGATAGAAATGTACCCCTCAAACTTAAGGGAAAATTCTATAAGATGGTAGTGAGGCCTGCAATGCTTTATGGTGCCGAATGTTGGCCTTTAAAAGAGAAGCATAATACTAAGTTAAGTGTGGCAGAGATGAGGATGCTCAGGTGGATGAGTGGCTTTACCCTTAGAGATAGGATACGAAATGAGCATATACGTGAAAAAGGTTGGAGTAGCTCCAGTAGAAGATAAGATTAGAGAAAGTCGCCTTAGATGGTTTGGTCACATAAAACGGCGGCCTTGCGATGACCCGGTTAGGAGAGTAGAGGTATTAGATTTGACTTATGTTAAGAAAGGTAGGGGTAGACCTAAAAAGACTTGGTTAGAAAATATTAGGAATGACCTTTCTTTATTAGATTTAAACGAGAATTAGACTTTTAATAGGACACAATGGAGAAAAAGGATTCATGTAGCCGACCCCACGTAGTGGGATAAAGGCTTGTTGTTGTTGTTGTTGTTGTAGAGAATTCCAAAGATCCTTATGTAATATGTAGACTTTAAGGGGGGGTTAAAGATTAATAAATATTGAAGATAAAAAGTATAAATATAGGAAAACATAGTGATAGAGACCTACAAATTTAGTGATAGAGACCTACAAATTTAGTGATAGAGAAGATAACTTGGATCACAACATGGAATAATTAAGTAGTTGTCAAGATTAACTTATCCCTATGTCTAAATGCTAAAATCTTAAGAAATTTAAGGGTACTTGCTTGAAATAATTTAGTAAGTACTTCAAATTTAGAATGAAATGGAGCTTGAAATTTCATTACTTTCCCAACATAATTTAATGTGATGGCTAGCATTTTATTCACATCAATAAATATTCTTAAGAATTACATAACTTTATTAGCTCAACATGGAATTTTCTTTATTCGAGCAAGACTTTGCTCAATTGACAGGCATATCTCCTTGAGTGCATCTAACATATTTAATACACTATTTCAAGTTTATAATTATAGTGATAAAATGTTATAATAGAAAAAACAAGGAATTGCTTTTCCCAATAAGCATATTTGCTGCACTTGGAGAATCTTAAAGATATAATTTATAATTGGTACTTTACATCAAGCCTAGACAGCAATGGCCATAAATAGCACCTTGGTAAATTAATATTACAGGGAAGGATTATTAGAGTTTTAGCATGTTAAAAAATACTGCAGAACTGAAACTTAAAATGAAACTAGGGCAATAGAACTGATACAAAGACAAAAAACGATTTCATAATTTAGTAATTAACATAAATGTAGTAGCTAATGCAGGAGACTGCAGCTGCATAGGAGAATGACACACCAGATACTATAGGAAAGATTTACCTCATTTTTTTCAAGTGCAACAGAACTGTCTTGGCGTATAGAAGCAACTATGTCACTATAATCACTCAAGGAGGTACCTATTGATTGCACAGCAGCTACAATGTAAGGTTTCAGCTTCATGTAACAATTGCTAATTACCTTCTCAGCTAGCCTGCGTACAACAGGCATAACGCCCTATAGAAAAGGATGCTTCAAGTAAGTGAGGACACATTCTACAGAAACAAAAGGTCTAGATCAAACAAACACAGACTATATGGCATTATTCACCTTTTTTGACTTCTGAACATTAGATAACAAGCAACTGAGAAGTTCTTGTGAGATATCTTCACTCTCCTCCAAAATAAGAGTCATGATCGTCTCCATTGAAGAAAAGACATTGATAGGGTGGTCTGTCCTGAAAGATTTTAGAAGCTCTTTATCATATGATAACAGATGAATATATTTAATATGAATAAAAACATTCTAAACGGTAGATGTATCAACTATATGGTTCACCATCCCAGAAAAAATACTAGTATTGATCATAATTAATGAAAATTTACATATTCAAGCAAAGAGAAAACCAGCATAAGCACCAGCGCAAAAATTAAACTTCTATACCACATTACCAGGTCCGATTCTGACAAGCCCACTTAGTTGCTTAGGCCAACTAACAGCCAGTCAATTAAAATTAGCCCTTTAAGGAAATATTGGAGCAATAGGAAACATAAGAAGACAAGAAATAACACCAGAATTAACAGAAGTAAATTGAGTATAAACTAAAATTTAAAAATAAGAGCCCCACAATTTTACACACCTGCTGGAATCCAATTTGAGAGAAAGTCGAAGATTAGAAAAGCAACAACATAAGAAATAAATAAATAACATAGAAGTCCGTATCTACATCTTAACCAGGGCTACAAAATACTTCATAAACTTTTTAATGTGAGTGCCGCCAATAAATTCATGAAATGATATGGACATGCAATTCCCTATGTGACATTATCGTAGTGAAATTAAGCATATCAGATATTAAATTAAGATCTGGATCATCAAACTAATAATTATTACATCAAAGCCTAATAGTATTGTGGTGTGATAAGAAAACAAAATCAAAACTAATCCAACTAAAAGATATTACAAGCAAATTGCTAGGGCCATGTGCCTTAGTAGAGCTGTCAACAATGTTGACTTAGTTAAGGTGACACATGCAACAATTGAACAGTGAAAAAAGCAGTGCATCGAATCAGGAAACTAAGTATTCAAACTGCAAAAAGAAAATTATGGCATGGCCAGAACATTAAGCAATGAAGAAGAAAATTAAAAAAATGGAAAAACAGACGAGTAAATAAAAGAAAACATTTGAAGAGGCAAAGTATTACAAGTTCAAAGAGTGCAAACACAAATTTAGTGAAGCTAATAAACCATGGACAAGTTCCAACGATGACAATACCCATGCGGTATTAGCAAATTGGCATACACTAAAAGAACTCATGGTAAAACTTAGCAAAAGGTTTTCCACACTTATCACTAGAAACACGTACTGATTGTAAGTGTCATTCTGGATTTGTTCATAAACAATACAGGCTAACAAACAGGGGGTTCAGTTCATTTAACAGTGAACAGCATTGCCTATAGCTGGCTTTATCGCTTGTAAAATCTATTTGATTAACTTAATCCAAAACAATAGGACAAAAATATAACCAACCCTGAATTACTTCAAAATTTTCATCATATTGTTCGCTTAAATAACTTAAAAGCATATATCATCTAATCATCACAGTCAAAATAAGAACAAATAAATCTTGAACAATCGAGCAAAGCTGAATTAATAATCCTTAAAAAGAATTTGATCCTTTGCCACCCATAATGAATCGGAGAGAGATTTGTCCAAGCCATCAAATAGGAGGCATGAAATGAGGTTGCTATATATAGATTCTTAATTTTGGAGCAAGAAATACTCATATATCTCCGCTGTCATCATACATCACCACTGGGGCAAACTTTAACAGAGCTTACCAACCACATAAACCAAGTTGAGTCACTATCCTATTATTCTCATCATCAATGAACCCAAAAAACTTCCTTTAAATAGTGCTATAATCAAGGTAGTAAAACAAACCTATTGTGTTATCCACACCAATCATGCTCTGTCTGGTCCCCTGATGGTAACTAAGCGGGAGAACTGCAAGTGGGAGTCCTAAAGAGCATTGGGAGTCGCTTGCTCACAAGGCATTGGGAGTCGTTTGCTCATCCTCTCCAACTCTTGTGCACGAACCTAAAGCTCAAAGGCACATGGTGCACTGACCATGGCACACGATGCATGTTGAACATCCATTTAACATGTCTGACCACTGCATATGATTTGACATCAATTGGGTAGGGACAAAATAGATGGTCAAAAAATATCTTGATGATCTCAAAAGTAATACTCAAAGAGACACAACTCACTGATCTTGTAGATGGTGTTTTTACTCCTATCCTTCGCTAGCAACCTATACTATGACTCGATAGGGGAAGAAAGCTTCATCAACCTCTTTACTGTTGCCACTGTATCCTAGCTCGTTGCAAAAGAAATTGATGCAAAATTGCTACTGAATTGGGAAAATATCTTTTAGATTGATCACCCTTCGAAGACATCTTGATGCAAAATTGCTACTGAATTGGGAAACCATCTTTTAGACTAATCTCCCTTCGAAGACATCTTGTTTAGAGGTAGCGAAGGCTTAGTAAAAGAAGAAGAGCACAAAAAAAATTGAAAGAGTGCTCAAAGAAAATTCAAAATCAAGCAAATGAGGTAAGAAATGCAGTGCTAAATATAGCCCTGAAACTCCAAAGCCTCTCCTCTAAGTGAGAAACTCCCTTTCGCTAAATATAGTCGTGAAACACCAAAGACTCCTCCAAGAGAGAAACACCCTTTGCCCACACAAAGATCACATCGCCTAATACGTCAGCAAACCAACATTAAATAATTGAATCCTGTGGCCTCCAAGCGAATCACCACCTCGCCCAGATAATGGATTAATATTACATATAAATGATTACCATGTGAAATGTCATTTTCTTGCATAATAGAAATTATGACACACATGTAAGGAATTTTGTATTTAATTCTCATTATATTTGTTCACTATAATTATTATTACATGAATTGCTTTAGAAATATTTACTCTGTCACTAACTTTTTCAATTCTCACACGGCATTCCTCAAGAGCGATATTTTATGTCGAGTAACTAATCATCCTTACTCTAGCTAGCAAAATATCTACCAGAGATATTTTAAAGTTTTTCTTCACAAGATAGAAACAATTGCCCCTCTACAAGCAGTAAAATATATGATAAGAAATGATAAGCTGGGTAAACAATAAATATGCATGAGATTTTATTTTTCTTTTCATTAAAGTTAACTACAACTTCCGAATAATTGTTCTTATACCATCACTAACTGATCACCGCATGTAAGGACAATTCCCTCTCTATGGTCACAACTCTCTCTGCAAGACTATGTTGCTCACTTAAAGCACACAATGCTCACTCCCATCAAAAGGGCAAGCGATCAGCCTGCCATCACCACCCTATAATCCCTAGCTCTCAATGATACAAGTTTATGCATCACCATGTTAGACTCCACCATAAATACCCCATCAATGGGATGTTTCAAGGGTTGTAGGTCATGGACTTGCTTGCCTGCCAACTCCTAAGCTACATCCACAATAATGATTGCAACCCCCATCCATATTTTTTTATATAAATCTCTTCTAGCACTTGGCTATAGCTCTGTATAAAAAAATCAAAGAAAGCAATTCTCAATTACTGCAGCAAAATTGCAACCATTATGTATAAAGTAATTGCTTTAAAGATATGCATAATTGAAGGAAAGAAAGGTTGCTTTGTTGTGATAAATAAAAAAAGCAGCAAAATTCAAGGAAAAATTAGCTATCTACAAGTAGGACAAAGTCACAACACAGTGAAGGGAATCATTTACAATGAGAAATAACACTTAGAGATACAATTCATTGATTCGTATATCAATGAGAAACCTCCAACAAAATTATCATGAAACTTTTTTTAATACATTCTAACCTTTTTTTTTTCTGAGCTTATGCAAGAAAATTGAGAGGTTAACCACAATCTTCAAACTTAATTACAGCCTAACTAATTGATTCCAAAGAAATTAAAGACCCTTAAAATTTTTTCTCAACATGTGACATGTAAAGAGACATTAATAGATAATCATGATAAAGGAGTAACTCTAATTAAACCATTAATTAAAATTGTGCAATATGAGGCCCGCCTCAACCCAATTCCATTGAAATATGCCTCGAGCATTTTTAATGAGGTTTGCGCCTCAACTAGGCTAAGGCCCGCCTTGAAGAGTGCCTCGCCTTACTGGCATGAGGCTACGCCTCACACTATTTGTATATTTAAAAAAATAATAATAATAACTCACCTAAATCCTAAACTAAAACCCCAAACAAATCGCGTCTTCATGCACCCCCAAGCTGCAACAACTTCCTCTCAACAGCCTCAACCTCCCCCGCCTTTGTTGCAACCAACGCCGTCGTAGCCACCGTTGGGGATCATTTGAAAGCCGCACACCACCTCTAAAAATTTTGGAGTATTAATTTTATGTTTATGTTGATGAATAATATTTATGAAAGTGGAAGATAACTGAAATGAATGAAAAAGAAGCATATTGTGAGGCATTGGACTCCATAGGACGAGGCAAGGGGAGGCCAATTTGTTATGACGACGACTCAAATAAAAACCCCCTCAGCAATGACGTGATGATGATTTCAGAGATGTTGCCAACTATTTCAACTTTGTTAGGAATTAAATGTGGATGAGTAGGGAACTCAAAAAAGAAGGAATTTGGAATTGAATTTGATGTTATATGATACAATTCGTACATTTAATATTATTTTACTCTTACAATATTTGGATTTTAATTATATTTCATGTCATTTATCACTTATCACTTTACGTCTTGTGTAGTTTTTTGCTTCATATGCATGTTAATTTGTCACTTCATAGTTCAATAAAAAGTTAATATCTCATTCTTTAACATATTATTTGGGTATTATATAAAAAAATCACTTTTGCCTTTTTTTTTTTACTTTACGAAATTTTTTTACTGTGAGAGACACTCCTTAAAACGCCTTGAGGCTTACGCCTCACCTCACGAACAAAAAAATGCCTTAATACCCAATTGTGGAATTTTAAACCTTTAATTAAACCACATGAGACCATTGATTACCAAGCAAAGAAAATTCAAGGAGACTCCTATAGCAATCAAGCCTCATAACATTTTGTTTTGAGCATAATCATCATTTCCTTTAATCCAACAATTACCCCAAGTAAATCCTCATAATTTGAAAGCTCGTATTGTAAATGTAATGTGATCCAAATGCAACTTTTTGAGGCTAATAAAAAATCCTTTTACAACCACTCTAAAGATAAAATACAAACAAAGCATGAGTCATCCTTTGCGGTCCTCTATTCTCTACACACAACTAGGCCACAAAGAAGCATGTATACATTAGGTCATTTACGAATAAACACATAAATAAGTGTATTAAATCTAATTTGATGCATACATTGGTTAATGATATGAAAATTTCAATAGTAAATACTTCCAAAACAAAAGCATCAACAAAAAGGTGGACAAATGCAAAATATAACAAAATAGACTCAAGGTTTCTGATTACAAACCATAAATTGAACAACAATTTTCATTAACCCAAAAGGTTCACATAAAAAATGGAAATGTTTACCTTATGCTTTTCAAGAAGTTTTCAAACATGCGTAGAATAAGATCATCACATTCAAGATCCAACATTACAACACAAGAGCGAACTTTTGCCATAATTTCAAGAATGGAAACCCTCTTACAATACGAACATCCTGACATATCATCCAATTTTTCGAAGGCATCGACAATCATTGCAAATATCTCCTGAATGCAAGCAAAACCACCAATGTTCACAATACTGTACATAATCAAATTTATTATTTGCATGAGATCAGAAGAATAAGAAACTATGATTTGACGATAAAGAATCTTTCACAAACCTTCATCAAATCATCATTATAGGGAGCATCAGGAGCAGTTACTCTCATGATTTCATTAATGCAAGCTGCCACATAAACCTTAACATCTGCTTCTGGATGGTTTAAGAATTCTTTGGTGATCAATGAATTCATGGTAGGGCACAGTGCATCGGACATTGATGTCGATGGAGATTGTTCCACCCTTGACAAATAGATTTCAGTTTGCTGGAATTTCAAAATCATAAACCACATTGCAATTAAATTCTATTTATAAGGCAGTGGGCATTCAACTCTACCAAGCCTATATGACGTACACAATTTAGCAACCATTACATAAAACAGCAATATTAGAAAGGATTTGCATGTTCCACGCTCAACATATGGAAAACCAATAGACCCACTTAAAACATGCTAGAATCTGAAATTGCATAGTAAGCCAATTATCTTACAAATGGCATGAACATCTTGATTCAACTAAAAAACATGATTAATATTTCATATTTCAGATTCAAAACCCAGCACTACTTACTATAAGCAGCAACAATAAAAAAAGGTCCCCTTCCATAATCCTAACTCCGAAATATTAAAAAACCATGCATGATTCATAATATATTTTAACTCACTAAAAGGTTAGGAAGGAAAAGAGATAAACCTAAGTTATTTTATACTTCCAAGAAAAAAAGATGCAAAACACTTCCCTTCAACTACCTAATCAGACAATTCTGGCATTTTAATGCAACTTAACCCGCACCGAATATATACGAAATAGGAACGCCAGAATGCATGCCAATACGAAACCCCTCTTCTTAGCAATCCGCATTTCCTTAGAGAAACGGGTAGGTGCGGACAGGACCGAAGGGGGAGAGCAGGAGATAAAGAATTTTGAAGACCAAACATACGTCGAGAACTTACATCTAGAAGACATAGTAGTTCGTCGACATCGGAAGGAGGAGAAGCGAGCCTCGTGCCCAATTCCCTCAGCCGATCCTCCAGCTCCTTCTCCGTCGGCTCCATTCCCGATGGCCGATTCCAGACTACTCTCCCCAAATCCTAGCGCTCTTCCAGGGAAAGAATCGAACTGCGGATATTTTTAAAAATTCAGAAATGCTGGAAGTAACAGGCTAGGGTTTTGCCGGACCTGCAGAAGGAAATGAAAAAACAGCGAAAGTGTGAGTTTTTACCGGTTTTCTTTTTTCCGTTCTGCCTCGCAATGGCCGATAGAGAGGAGAGAGGGAAAGAGAATATCAGGCGTGTGCGCGGATTCCGCCGGGTTTATGCAATCCGACTCACGATTGAATTTCGAGTCCGGGCCGGGATTCATCGCACGCGGGCAGACCGGCTGGATCCGACCGGGAACCAAGTTGGCATGGGCCGCATGGCGGATTCGCCTTGCATAAAGGTTAGTGGTCCTTCAACGCTTTCAAGAGAAAATTTAACCGGGCTTGTACTAGCTCTACCTTGTTTTATTTTTATGCCCTGTGATACATCTCTCAAAGCCCACAAACGGCCATTGTGATAACGAAGGTTCGTTTGGGACTGTTTAAAATTTTATATTAAAATTTTAATTTAAGAGGTAGTAAGAAAGTCATCCCAAACGAAGGATTCATTATGGTGCACCTGATAAGTATGTTGTTGTGTATTGGACTGGTTTTAGATTAAGTTGATTAGCATAGACACGATACCATGTGTAAAGTTCTATAAATAGACATTGTAGGATGATATATAGGTAGCCCCTTGTAATAAGCCCTTTACTGAAATAAAGCTCATGCTTTGCTCTCTCTCTCTCTCTCTCTCTCTCTCTCTCTCTCTCTCTCTCTCTCTTTATCTGACATTAGAGCCTGGTGGAGCTTATCAGGCGAAGGAGGAAGAAGCCGGTTCTTGTAATCAAGAAAGAGGTGGAGTCATTGGAGCCGGTTGAGTAGGAGGTCCAACAATAAGCCGATTGCAACGGAAGGAGGCAGTATTTGTGAGTCCATTCATGTGTGGGATCAAGGTCAGACACATGCACCGGAGTTGCCATTTGATTCGATTGGAGGCGGGGTTCTAGGCTTGTGCACGCAAGGTAGGTAGACAGGTTATGCCTGGGTTCACATGGAAGGCAAGATTGGCAAGCATCGTGTGGTGCATGCATAGGCGGAGCGTGGGGCACAAGGTTTGTGTGGGGCTCGGTGAGGCAAGGGGAGTAGTGAGAGGGGATAGCTGGTGCCTAGTCGCGCGGGGATGGGTGCGACAAGCGGAGCCGTGAGCAGTTGCGGGAGTCTCATGTCGCGTGCTCAGATTTCTTGTGTTGAAGCAGTGGATCAAGAACCTCGGTAGTAGATCATGCATGAGTGTGCAAAAAGTAGGTACCAAACTCAGGATTGGATGGGTGGTACATGCGAAGTGGCAGGTTGGAGCGCGCACGGGTGTCTGGGAAAGTTAGGTGAGCCGGATGGTGCTTGGTATTGGAGTGTAAGCATGCCACGCAAGAGCAAGTACGTTAATCAAAAGCAGACGCGAGTGGAGTTAACAACGAGGGATCAGTGAGAGACGGGAGGCAGATGCGCAGGGTTTAAAACGCACGAGCGCATGAGCTGGAGTCGTGCATTGGAATGCACTATGGAGGTCTAGCACGAGCAACATTGGGTTGGGCTTCAATGGATGTGCTCATGGAGTTAGTATAGGGAGCCAGTCAGATCACAACATTAGCACATGTGGTTATTTGATCGTAAAATTGGACCAAAGTGGAGATTGTTGTGTATTGGCCCTGTTTTAGATTAGGTTGATCATCATAGACACCACATCATGTACAAATGTCTATAAATAGACATCATAGGATAATGTATAGTTAGCCCCATGTAATAAGCCATTAAAGCCAAAGGCCAAGGAGTAAAGGATTTCTTGACCTCCCTTTCCCCTTTCTCTCTCTTGCAAGAAAGTTTAAGAATTCCTCCTAAATTTCTTAACACATATAACCATAATATTTGAGTTCTTTATATTGACCAATTCAATAAACACTTCATGAATATCCTATTAAACTATTCTTTAAATGGTCCTAACAAAATATCCTCTTATCCTCAAAAATGTTTGTAACCCTAAACTTCTATGCATTCCCAACCTTGCACTGCAACAATCATTGATGAGATACAAAAGATGACATAATTATAGATATGTGATATTAACAACATGTTGGAATAATACTTTAATCATAATGCCATGTTTAATGGCATCATACATGCACACAATCTAATGGAATGTAATCTCCCTCAATCAATTATCAACATCGAAGTTCACTTATGACTACATGATTTATTATAACTCACCTCAAACTCCATACAAATATTCATAAAAAATATAATATTAAAAAACACTGATGTGTGTAGATATTGATTTGTTAAAAGCAAAAAAAAAAACTTTTTATGGGTAAGAAAATTCATTGGGACATATTCAAAAAAGGGCTTTTACGCTTAAAACTTTTTAGTTAAATAAAATTTGAATAAATTTACAAAGTTTGAGGGTCTGTTTGGTTGGTTGTAGAGTGAATACAATGTAAAATAAATGTAGAGTAAGGCTTCGTTTGGGACGGCTTTTTTATTGCTTCTTAAAGCGGCTTTTGATTACAAAAATTTTTGCACTAGAAAGCTGCTTTAAGAAGCAATAAAAAAGTCGTCCCAAACGAAGCCTAAAATAAATGCAATGTAGAATAAATATTTTGGGTTGTCTGATTGTCTGTAAAGTAAATGCAAGGGAACCCATTTTTCTGTTTAATTGGGTTCGTGCAAAGTAAAATAAAATCAGTCGAAGGGGCATTGCTGGGCAATTCCCACAAATACTTGGCGTGGAAAAACTTGTAGCATTGTAGTCTTGGATGGCCGAATTGGGGAATTCTACACGCTTGCTTCGGTTCAGATTAATTGCTCAAAGGCAAATCAAAGACAAACTTCTATGCATCCCGTCAGAGCTGAAGCATTGAAGTCGGGAAATTGGGGCTTCTGCTCCAGTTTCGCCGCAAGTAGACAAATTCAGGAAAACAAATCCGATAGGACAGAACATCATCGATAGAGGTGAAGGAGCTATGACACGTTCAAAGTCTATCTCACACGAAGCATGTGAAGTCGAACATCAACTAATAAAAACATAAGTGACAAACCGTACCTTCCAATCTAAGAGGAAGGGAACATAGTCGAAGCGAGCAATCACAATCCAAACAACAATTAAGTTGAAACGAGCTCTTCAGTGCCTTCTCTCGGGCTTTTCTCTCACCCGCGTGCCATGATTTACTTTTCTCGTTCAAAATGAGCGATTTTACTTTACAAAAAATTATAAAAAATGATATTACATTGAGATTTCACTTTACATTTAAACATCAATTTTTTTTAGCTACAACCAGACAGCCCTGAATCATAAAGTTTAATCAACCATAATGATTTTTATTAGTTTGAATTTAAATTTTTATGATCAATAAGCATCCACCACGTAGGATTAAACGTAGTCGAAGGCCAATCATGTTCTTCCACGTCATCCCTAATGCCACGTCTCGCGTCACAATTCGTCTGCTACTGGCATTCAGACGTGTCCGCTTTCCACAAAGTCTCAGTCGTTTAATTTCGGAACCAGACTTTTAGTTCGAAAAGCGAACACATCTTCTCTTCCCAATCGCCGACGATCCTCCCTCGTCCCCTACCATACTGTCGCCGTGGCTTCCAACGGGCCACAGTCCCTCCACCGCCGGAAAATTCCAGCAACCAATCCGCCCCGAACCCTACCCTCTGCCCGGACTCGAGCGGCCGACGATATCGTCCTCCCCTTCTGGCAACAGAATTGGTTCCTTCTACTCCTCTTTCTGATGGCGCTTTCCTTATTCGGCCTCGCCATCTTTCTCTACTTCAGTTTACAGCTCGAAGAGGGAGCCCCTATTCCTACGTCTGCGGTCGCTTCCGAGGGCGTGGCGGTCAGTGATCGCCAATAATCCGAGATCTCTGCTTGTTATTTGTATTAGTTTTCTGATCTTGATTGCTTTCTGAATAGATATCATATGGAACGGTTCTTAAGCTTATGCACGAGAGGACCAAATTTCGGCTGCACTCTCATGAGGTTCCATACGGGTTGGAGGCGAAGGAGCTGCGACTTGCTCAAAGTCTATCTCCCACGAAGCAAGTGAAGTCGAACATCAACCAAGAAAAGTAGAAGCGACCAACCGTACATTCCAATTCGAGAGGAAGGGAACATCGTCGAAACGAGCAACTGCAATCCAAACAACTAAGTCAAAGTGAGCTCTTTCATGCTTTCCGGTGAGCTTCTCTCTTGCGAGCGCACATTGATTCCCTTTTTTATCTCAAAACGAGCGATTTTATTTTACTCGAAAATTCTAATGCCACGGAGAATTCTTAATACATTGAATTTCACTTTATTTCTTTTACAATTCATTTTTTTTTACTCCAAGTAAATAGCCTTGAATCATAAAGTTTAATCAACCATAATGTTTTTAATTTGAATTTAAAATTTTCTGATCAATAAGCAATAAGCATCCACCACGTAGGAGTAAACATAGTTGAAGGCCAATCATGTTCTTCCACGTCATCCCTAATGCCACGTATCGCGTCACAATTCGTCTGCTACTGGCATTCAGACGTGTCCGCTTTCCCCGAAGTCTCAGTCGTTTAATTTCGGAACCACACCTTTAGTTCGAAAAGCGAAGCACATCTTCTCTTCCCAATCGCCGACGAGCCTCCCTCGTCCCCGACCATCCTGTCGCCGTGGCTCCCAACGGGCCACAGTCCCTCCACCGCCGGAAAATTCCAGCAACCAATCCGCCCCGAACCCTACCCTCTGCCCGGACTCGAGCGGCCGACGATATCGTCCTCCCCTTCTGGCAACAGAATTGGTTCCTTCTACTCCTCTTTCTGATGGCGCTTTCCTTATTCGGCCTCGCCATCTTTCTCTACTTCAGTTTACAGCTCGAAGAGGGAGCCCCTATTCCTACGTCTGCGGTCGCTTCCGAGGGCGTGGCGGTCAGTGATCGCCAATAATCCGAGATCTCTGCTTGTTATTTGTATTAGTTTTCTGATCTTGATTGCTTTCTGAATAGATATCATATGGAACGGTTCTTAAGCTTATGCACGAGAGGACCAAATTTCGGCTGCACTCTCATGAGGTTCCATACGGGTCAGGGAGCGGACAACAGTCTGTCACCGGATTTCCCAACGTTGACGATTCTAACAGTTATTGGGTATGCGTTACAGTGCTTGTCGATTTTACCTTTTGATCTATGGATCTATCTTTGGATTCAGTCATGAATTACTAAACAGACTACTGAACAATACTCATTAATAATTCGAATAATATAGTACTTGCAAACTGCAGAGGCCGCTAGATATATAAGGATTTTACTGGCAATCTAGCCATGGTTTCATACCCAGAAAACTGTTTTGTTTGACACGGCAGGTTAGTAAAATGCGTACTAATGTTTCAACGATGATGATTTGGATACTACAACAGAATGTATTTTGTTAGAACACTGTAAATGTTAAGACATAGTATTCCTAAAGTACAATTTGATGTGATTTTAAAATAAATATTATGAATATTGTAGAGCACATACATATATGATTTCATAGCGACCTTTAATGCCATACTTGTAAGTGTTCTAAACCAAGGCGGAATACAATTTTAGAAATGCTAAAATTGTCAAATATCATTGTTATTCTCATTGTTTTAAACATATGGGGAGTATGGTTCACGCGACCAACTTGTTTCTCTAAATTTCTAAATCCTAACCTAGGTCAACTTATTTAATCATGGTAAATTTATCAGTAGCATTGGGTATAAGCCTCTCTATCAAGGCATAGAAGGTGTGCTCATTCACCAAAACCTATGGGGTACATGGTTCATAAGACCTACTAGTCATCCTTTTTCTTAGTACCATGAGACACCCTTGCCTTGCTCCACTTTGAAACTCATCATTGGTAAGGCTAGGGGAGCCTTCTAAGGCATTGATCTAAAAGCTCTTGGGTTTGAGTCACTGAGTCTTTGACTAAAAAAATGAAGATCGCTAACATATTAGTTCAGATCAATACTACAACAACAACAGCAAAAACATCAAGCCTTTATCCCACTATATGGGGTCGGCTACATGAATCATTTTTCTCTATTTTATTCCGTTAAGAGTTACATTCTCATTTAAATCTAATAATGAAAGGCCATTTCTAATATTTTCTAGACATGTCTTTTTAGGTATAACTCTACCTTTCTTAAGATAAGTCAAATTTAAAACATCTACTTTTCTAATCAGGTAATCGGAAGTCCGTCGTTTTATGTGACCAAATCATCTAAAATGACTCTCTCTAATCTTATCTTTTATTGGAGCTACTCCAATCTTTTCACATATGCTCATTTCATATCCTGTCTCTAAGATTACAGCCACTCATCCACCTGAGTATCCTTATCTCTGCAATACTTAAACTTAATAGTATGCTTCTCTTTTAATGGCCAACATTATGCACCATAATGCATTGCAGGTCTAATCAAAATCAAAATCTATGCTCAGTAATAGATGGCCCGATTCAAATTGAACTTGAATTGAGTTGTGCCTAGATCAAATTAGATTAACTTGAGATCAAGTAGAATTTATGCTTTAATATATTGTCCATTTATACATACAGATGTGCATATTTGTTGATTGAATTGAGAAAATTTATGAGAAAATAAAAAATTGATTTAATTAAGTCGACTTTTTGCTCAAATGGAGTTTGAATCAGAATAGATGCCCAACTTGAAGTCAATTGAGAACTGGTTGAGCGTATATTATCAAATTTGAATTTGCTTAAGACTGGATTGAATGGCTTAGAGCGGTCTTGAGTTAGGGATAATATAATTCAAGATTGAATCATTTACATCCCCTTCCTACATCCCACTTTGTTAGTAATACTTATGCACACCCCTCATAATCCTGTTTCTCATTTAGATACTATGTTTTCAATGTTGGTTTGTTTCTTTTTGGGCCACTTATTACAATTTTTTTTCTTCATTTATAGTTTTTTGGTAAATATTTCCTTTATTATCACAATTACTTGTGTCCTCTTATCTCTGTAAACCATTCCATCTCAAACACCTGTTTAAAAACCCAGTTAAAAATTTGGCAGAGGCATAAACATGTACAAGTTGAAGAGTAAGATAATGATGTTGAGGAGAATAAATATGCTATTGGAAGAATTAATTACCATTTTATATTGGTTCAACGTTGAATCACAACTTTTATGCATAATTATTGACTAAACAGACGGGCCTTGTTGCAACTTCTTCCATACTATTCTTAACATACTTCCTATAGTCTTCATATACAGCTCTTTGCAGCCGCCTTATGTTAAATGAGCATCAAAATTTTCAGGTGCAGGAAAATTGATTTTTCTTAAACAATCAAATTGATAAAAAAAGCTGACTCGGGAATGCTGTAATCTTTCAAAAAATTTTCCATAATGTTTCTTTTACTTATTAAAGCATTTCTTTGATGAAAACCTACAGATTGTGAGGCCTATACCAGACTCGTCTTCCAAGCAAGGTGACGCAATACCACATGGAACTATTATTCGTTTGCAACATATGAGGACTCAAAAGTGGTTGCACAGCCACTTGCATGCATCCCCTATTTCTGGAAATTTGGAGGTTAGGTTTCTGGGAATTTCAGTCGCTTTTAATTTTTTGAGAAGTTATGAGCCACTTTCTCTCATGTTTTGTCATCCAGCCAAAATAAAAATACAGTCTGTATGTTTTAAATGAATACGAATAAGCTTTCCTGAATACACAATGATTCATGTGTATTAGATTTACAAAGCCTTCAAGTTTTTCAAGAAAGCTTCAACTTCATTATCATCCTCATAAAGTTCTTTTGCCTCAATGGGTTTAGAAATGAAATGAAAGGTTGAAAGGAAATAGAAGTCTATATAGTTTTTGCCTGAGAATGAGCATTCTAGACCTCTAGAGTAGGTTAAGTTATAATGGGTATGAAGCCGATAGGCTGGAGTTTGGTATCAAGTAATGTCACTCATAACTTCTCTTGAGCAAGTGCAAGCTGTTAGCATGTGAAATCATATCTGGAAATACGAACTTAATATGAAACTTCTAAGTTTCTTCTCCTTTGAGCATCTTAAATTAGCTCTTTGGGTTGCTGCTCATTGAAACCTGGGTAACAAGCCAAGCTTGCTTTCTAACTTGATGGACCAAACCTGTTTTTTTTTTTTTTTTTTTTGGCTTAAATAAATATTAATTGTTATTTTTTTGTTAGCTACAGCCTACCTAGCTTTATAGGTCTTCACACTTATCCTTCATAGAGAATCTAAACTATAATCTCAATGTACTGCAGCAAGTATGGTTTTTGGATTATTTTTCATTCACATCTTTTTAACTTATGTTGTTTATATAGCTTTGAAATATCGTATTTAATTACACAGAGTGATACAAGCAAGACATTAGAAAGAGAAAATAATGAAGAGGATAGATTATCATCTGGATTGCTGCAGCTAAGAAAGGGGGTACAGCTTGTTGGAGAGAGGAAGAGGGGAGGATGGAGGGTTTTGTAGGGTGAGGCAAATAATAAAGATAAAAGATTGATGAGATTGATGAATTTATAATTTATTGATGTTAAGTGAAATTAATAAGTAACTCATATTTAAGATATAAATATCATATGGGTTAACTGTCTTAATCCTGAAATGTGATATTTTACTACTTAGCATGGTGCAAAATCAGTAGTGAAAAATTAGTATCAAGATGACATTGATTTCCCTGAGCAAATAAAAGTCAAGGTAGACCTAAAAATGCTTGGTTAGAAAATATTAGAAATGATCTCTCTTTATTAGATTTAAATGTGAATTTGACTTTTAACCAGACACAATGACGAAAAAGGATTCATGTAGCTGACCCCACGTAGTGGGACAAAGGCTTGATGCTGTTATTGTTGTTGTGGAAGTTCCTGTCTTAAGCTTCCAGTAAGTTGCAAATTTATTCTATTGACAACATATCGAATATTATAGGTGAGCTGTTTTGGGGGAGATGGTCAGTCAGATACCGGAGATTACTGGCGGTGGGTATTAGCTGCAATCTTCTCTTTTCTCCTCTTCCATGCTGAAATTCTGACTTCATGTGGCTTGTTTTCTGTCATGGAAATTGCACTGCAGGCTTGAGATTGAAGGGAATGGAAATATCTGGAAACAAGATCAAAGAATAAGACTAAAACATGTTGATACTCTTGGCTACCTACACAGCCATGATAAGAAATATACCAGAATTGCTGGAGGGCAGCAAGAGGTAAATAACTCATTATTAGTTTTTCCATTCTTTCTTCTTTCATCTTTTTCTATATTTATTTTACATTTTATTTTGGGTGAATTTTGGTGGATTTGCATAATAATTCTTATATAACATACTATTTTGCAAATCATATAACAATATCACTAAAATGAACTTATATTTTGATGTCATTTAAAAATTAAGATGTTATATAAATAAATATAAAAAATTTTATGGTAGGTATGTAAATATTTAAATAATATATATATATATATATATATATATATATATATAAATTAGGAGTTTCAATTTCAGTCACGGGTCTGGTTCGGGTTTGACCTCGACACTATTCGGATCAACCTAAACCCGACCCATTTTTGCAAACAGGTCGGTTTTCCGGACTCGGACACTTCGGGTCCGGGTAAACCCGACTCGACCCGAATGACCCGGGACGGACAAAAAACTGCTAATTTTCGGGTCCAAAAACAGGTCAATCTCGGGTTGCTGGGTCAAAAACGGGTTTTCAAGTAAAAAACGGATCAATTTTGGGTCAACAGGTCAACCCGAACCCGACCCGATTTTTGAAACAGGTCAAATTGTTGAACACGAATCTGACCCGTTTCGGGTTCGGGTCAACCCAAACCCAAAATTTTTGGGCCGGGTTCAGGTCTGGTCCAATATTGAGACCCCTAATGTAAATCCCCTTTTTATTTAATCTCTAAACAATAATCTGTTTCTCTTCCAGGTTTGTGGGATTAGAGAGAAGAAACCTGACAACATTTGGTTAGCGGCAGAAGGAGTCTATCTTCCAGTTCAAGGAAGTTGAATAGCGGCTTATATTTTCAAAGCTTCCGAGCTTTAGTTGAGAGGTTCTATCATTTCATGACATAGTGGTAGGTCTTGCTATTTTATTGTTCTCTTCTGTACTATCAAATTCTGCAATATATTTTGGGCAGCAGATTGACTATATGTGCAACTGGCCATCCATTCTACCAACTATATTTTTTAGAGGATTTGCCTTGTGAGGGTTATCCAAAGTGGTGCAAAGGGGAAAAAGCCCACAATAATCCTCTAAATTACTATCTACATCGACCAAAAAAGCATATGAAAGTTCATTTATGAACTGATCCAAACAAGCTTTTTGATTGGCTCCTCTACTGAGAATTTGATCCATCTTTGTTGTTGCTGGGTATGGTTTTTAGTGGTTTGGAGATACTTTATGTGATTATTAGAGATTTAATGCCCTAAACTTGACCAATTTTAAGGTAAGTGGTGCAAAGAGATGCAAAGAATAATTAAAAAAACTGAAAGAGTAAACAGGTAAAATTCAGAGGTATCTTTATGTGACATTTGGCTTAGATGCGGCGAAATCAGAAATCAAGGCATTTTTCCTTAGCGATGCGAGTCATAAGCCTCGAGGCGTAAGACTCAAAATAGACAAATAAAAACACATGAACAAACTAATAATTCATAAAAATTGACCAAAGTAAAATAAAACATCAACATATTTATTTGATTTGTCATTATAAATATATAAGCTACAATTCTCAATATTAAATGTTATTATAAAATGAAATTTTGAAATGAGGTTTAAAATAAACATTCATTTAAAACTTAAATACATCATAAATATTATTATTCATGGCAGTCTCATTCTTACTTTTGTATTCTTTATAATAGTCCTCGTATGTAATAATTATATCATCATCGAATTCTAACTCATTATCATCTTCTAAATATTCATCAATTATAACGTTTATTTTAACTTCCCATATTAATTAAGATTAGATTCAATGTAATATAAAATTTTTTTTTCTTCTGATCATTAAATGCATGCCATGCATGGCTCCTTTTTCAATTTTAAATATTTTACTATTTTTAATAATTATCGATTCATCATTAGAAAATATATTATTAAAAACCAAATGATTCATTAATTATTCTTCTCTATAATTTGAAGTGCTTCTTTTTCTAGTTTTTATTAAATATAACACAAACATTCAACCTTACTCATTCATTTATAGTTAATTTGTTCATTCTCTTTGTATAATAGAATAAAGTATACACATATTATTATTAATAATATATAATAAAAATTTATAAAACTTAACTATAATGTGGCGTTGCCTCGAAACACCTTAAGCCTCGAGGCGTGCGCCTCATTTCCAGCGAGGCTTAAGCCTCTAGGCGCTCATTGTGCCTCAATTTGAGGTGAGCCTCAAGGTGCGCACCTCGAATGATTTTTTAAACCATACTTAGATGCGTGACATGATCTTAGCGATTCAAAATTAAATCATAAATACAACTTAAAAAGAGAACATTCTAAATCATATGAAAAAGAAGTTTCATATCCACCACCACCAACAACACCATCAAACCTTTATCTTACTACAAGGGATTAGCTATATGATTTTTTTTCTCCATTGTCTTATTAAGAGTCAAATTCTCATTTAAATAAAAAACAAATCATTTCTAATACTTTTTAATCAAGTCTTTTTAGGTCAGCCTTCACCTAATTGGGTCATCAGTAACACTAATTAGTTATGGGTGATTAATAATTGTGTAGGATAACAGTGCTGAAATTAGATGAGACTTTAAAAGCATTTATAATACAGCATCTAAAATAATTTCAATGACTTGAATCACCAGAGCATTAAATGAAAATAATAAGATCAGTGAAGGACATAACAAACCACGCATTTACTAATCATTTTTATTACTATTTAACTATTTATTAAAATTTAATAAAATCACATTATTTTCCTCTAAAATTTGAAGGTATTAGCATAAACAAAACTAATTATGCATTGAATGTTCTTTCTCCATAATAGTATTGCGCTAACTATTGCCGAAGAATCTGTAGAAATTCAACTAGATTAAGGGACTGTGTGGTAGAAAATATCGAGTCAAGAAAGACTATTACAACAATAAAACATATCTACCGTCTACAAAGAAATGAGCATTTACTCTTTAGAGATCATCATTTGTGATGATGTTGCTGATACCCAAAATCTTTGCTAGTTTTCCACTTTCATATGCTTCAACGGTATCTGCAAAAATTCCAAAAAAAAAAAGTCCAAGCATATATATTAAAGTTTGGTCATGATGATTTAGTTATTTGATTAGATTTGAAATGAGTGCAATACATGACTACAACAACAATAACAACATCAAGCCTTTGTTCCACTACGTTGGGTCGGTGTTATGCCGGTCCAGCTTGGACCGGCTCTACCTGGACCGGCCCAGCCGGTCCAGTGCTATTCGCGACGGACGCAGAGGAGCCGCGCGGAAGAGAGAGGGAGCCAGGGAGTGGGGTCCACTTGCAATTCAAACATGGGTTAAGTGTTTTTGGAGGGAGAAGGAAGGGTAGAGTAGTCCTTTTGCTTTTAATTTGAATTAGATTGTATTAATAGGGAGTTATGAGGGGATTAGGTTTTCATCTTGATTTGGAATGAGTTTTGTCTTCTAGGTTTTCTTGCTTGGGCTCTTGGCGTTGCCGGAGATCGTTGGAGAGTTTTTCCTTCCTCTCGAATTGAAGGAAAGTTGTATCTTGCAAGTGCTTTTCATCCTTTATTGAAATAAAAGCGTTTGCATCATTTTTCTACGTTTCTCCCTACGTTTTCTCTCAGTTTTTTTCACTGTTTGAGCTGTATTCTTGCTGCGGACAGCAGTTTACTTGGCTTAGGTATTTGATTTGGGTTAGGTTTACTTGTGCAAACGAGTATTTCCTATCAGTCGGCTACATGAATCTTGTTAAAAGTCAAATTCTCGTTTAAATCTAATAAAGAAAGATTATTTCTAATATTTTCTAACTAAGTCTTTTTAGGTCTACCTCTACCTTTCTTAATATATTTCAAATCTAATACATCTACTTTCCTAACCAGGTCATCGTTTTATGAGACCAAACCATCTAAGGCGACTCTTTCTAATCTTATCTTCCACTGAAGCTACTCGAATCTAAGGCGACTCTTTCTAATGTTATCTTCCACTGGAGCTACTCGAATCTTTTCACGTATATGCTCATTTCGTATCCTTTCTCTAAGGAGGGTAAATCCACTCATCCACTTGAGCATCCTCATCTCTGGAACAGTTAACTACTTAGTAATATGCTTCTCTTTTAATGACCAACATTCTGCTCCATAAAGTATTGAAGGTCAATTAAAATTTATATTACATTCATTTCAAAATAAAGCCAACAATTTTGAGTCATCCAAACTAAATTTAGATCAGGATAATATGACTTAAAGTTTTCTCAAGAGGAGTTGGTGTGATTACCATCAGAGCCACCCAAATGCTTTCCATTAATGAAGACTTGAGGGACAGTTCGCCTTCCAACAATTGTAGACAATGCGTCCTGGATTTCTCCACCATCATCTATTACAAATATTAAATGATATAAGTAGATGAAATAAAAAAATATATTTATCTGCTTTTGAGTGCAGATATTCTTTGAAGTTTCAGTGTAAAACAAGCCTGTCCTTCAATTGATATTAGACATTAATGCTATCAAGAGAAAGCAAATTAACTTTCTCATAAATTTAAAATAAAAACCAAAATGAAAATATGAAATCATCGGTAGAACATAAATCATTATAATAAAAATCCTACAGATGCCGGAACTTCTAGAACTACCACGTGATTTCGAACCTTCGAGGTTTGAGAAACTGGTGCATGATATGATTTATCACTCTGATAAGAAAGGTTTTTTGGGATGGGGATGGACGACCCAATATATGCATAACCGTAGTAAGATATGGACAATAGATATTCATATTCAACGTAAGTAACTCGATTATCAAAGAAATAATGGTAATGATCAAACACATCAACATTGGTATGCCTGGAAGATGGTTAATAACTCTAAAACTATCAATGAGTAGAGTTAACAATGTTGAAAAAGACTAAAATTTGAAACTTATTCAGATTGTACAAAATTTAACTTAACTCAAAATCAACTTTACTTAATTCCTAGTGGATTTTGAGTTTCCTTGACTCACTCAAATGTATACATCTAGTGAACTCGAAATATGTGATATGGAGGAATCTCTTGAGTTTATTGCCGTTTTTTCTCCCAGCTTGCTGAAATTTTCGGCCAGAATCGATCGGGATTCCCTTGACCACAACTAAGGGAAAAGGGATCAGAAAGGAGGAGTTTGACGAGGAAAGCTTCTTCCACCAAGAACTAGCTCTTAGGGCTTCGATGAGAGGTGGAATAGGGCCTTCAGAAGGAGGGGGAGCAAGAAGACAATTTCGTGGGGGAGATGGTAGGGTGGCCGACTAATATGGGCGTCGGATGGAAGAAAGGTGGGATTTCCACCCACGATGTACAAGGGAAACAATAACAGGAGAGGGAACAAGGATGGAGATGCTAGGGTGAGAAAGCTGAAGACACCGTTCTTTGAAGGAGAAGATGCTCAGGGATGGGTGTATCGGGTGGAGAGATACTTTGCCATCAATGGGCTAACATAAGTGAAAAAGCAGATGGCTGAGGAGCTATGTTTGGAGGGAAAAGTCCTAGCTTGGTTTCAATGGAGAGAAACGAGGTATCTACTTCATCCATGGAGAGAATTTAAAGAGGGGTTGTTGGAACATTTTCGAGCAATATGGGAAGGAGACCTCCATAAGCAGTTTTATGCCTTATCTTAGGAAGGGACATTTAAGTAGTACCGAGGAAAATTTGGCTGTTATCGGGCATACTGAGGGGGATTTCAGAAGAAGGTTTGGTAGGAAATTTCATGAAGGGCCTCAAGGAGGATATACGGGAAGAACTCAGAGTATGGAAGTCTAACGGACTAAGGGAAACAATGAAACTTGCACAAAGGATTAAGGAAAAACATAAGAGGGAGAAGACCTGCAGAAGTAGCATTATGGGATGTGCCTACAGGAGTATCTCCACAAACCTGGCACCGATGACCCAAACGATGTCTTTTCAGAGGGAAGCACCTAAGGAGAAGAGCAATGGAGTACATCCGGATAACAATTTCAAGTGCCTCATAGATGCAGAGGTACATGACAGAAGGGAAATGGGATTATGTTATAGGTGCAATGAGAAATTTATGCCAGGACATAGGTGTAAAAATCGTACCCTGCAGGTTCTCTTGGTGTGTGATGAGGAGGAGGTGGGCGAGGCAAAAGAAGAAGAGGAAAAGGAGCTTGTAAACTTGAAGGTGGCAAAAGTTTCATTAAACTATGTAGTGAGATTCACAATGAATTACACTAGGAAGGTGAGGGGATAGATAGGAGAAGAGGCGATGGTGATCCTAGCGGACAATGGAGCTACCCATAATTTCATATTAAACCAGGTGGTGGACAAACTGAGGTTGGAGTTGGTAGAAATAGATTGTTTCAAAGCAATGATGGGCACCAGGAAGGTAGAGAAGAGCAGGGGGATATGTCAGGGGTTGATGGTGGAGCTGTCGGAGATTCACATCAAGGAGGATTTTCTTCCCTTGCAACTGGGGGGTATTGACTTGATTTTGGGAATGAAATTGCTACAAACCTTGGGGGAACCAGGGTAAACTGGAAGGAATTAGATATAGAGATCCAAGTGGAGGGGAAGAAAGTGATAATTATGGGAGACCACCGTGGGCTCAAAAAATTCGCGCCCCGACCTCTCCTGCTTTCTTTCGGGTGAGTTTTCATAGATTAGGTTCTGGGATAAATTTTCAGAGGGAAAATTGTGTTTGAAGATAAAACACTACCCAGAGATTGCACCCTCATTTTGCGAGAACTTTATGATATGAGTTTTGATTTCCTATAGGCGCAAACCCCTATAGTTAATTACCCCTCCCGATCACGAGAGAGAACTTTCGATTAAGGCTAGCAGTCAAATGAATATGTTGTACCTGTAGATACGTAATATTCGGCATATATTAGCAGCATGTTTGGTATTTGAAATTTTGATATTTAAAATAAAAAATTTCACCATCTTATACTTAAAGCGGATGGTGGGGGGATTGATGATGAGCTTGATCAAGATCCCATGGTTCCATCGTCTTGGGCTATCATGGTTCCTGGTCTACTAAGTAAGAGGTAGTCGACCCAACCTGACAGAAGGATCCTTGTCAGCAACCATGGGTTGCGTCGTCCAAGTGTACCTTGTAAACCTAGGATGGATGTTTGTCTAAGGGGATAAATTTGAATCAACTTTAGCTAACAGAGGACTTTGTGCCCTATCGATTATATCCCATTGACTTACATCTCAAGAATTTAATGCCATTAGGGAGCATACGGGCTGTGGCCATGATTCTAATTTAGTGGTGCCATTTGATGGCAAAAACAACCAGTTCAGGGGCCCCGGTCATAATCGTTTACCTGTGGTGTCATTTGGTGACAAAATTGCCAATTAGATGACACATGTCACATCCTTACTGGCAGGAGACAGATTGAAAATGAATCCTAGTGATATTCTCGACCAGACACTAGCTCTTTGTGAGCTAAAGTGTATTTTTGAATTTGTCCACCTCGATAAATTATTACGGGGGGTGAATGTATTTTGCTTTAGATGGTCAATGATTCATTTCAATTTTAAATATTTTGTTTTTGATAATTTTTGAATTTTAAATTTTGTGAGCATTTGAGAGTTTGGGAGGCAATGTTTGGGGTCCCCTCTGGTTGATATTTTCTGTCAACACAACCATCATCGGGGTATTTATGGCAATTTTCATTTATGGATTGAACCTTGTCGACCCTTTCAACTTGCCAATAGAGGATCATGTTGTTGTCAGCTGTATGCTTTTGTTAGTAAATTTTCATTGTTCATAGGCCTTAAAGGCCTCATATGAACATATTAAAACAAATATTTCGGTTGACGCCGTGACTGTATATTTATTTGATAGATTGAACCGTGTCGACTCCTATCTACTCGCATAGAAGAATCGAGCTCGAACATGGAAGATTCAAAATTGAGGTGGTTCCTTGGAAGATTCAAATTGAGAGATCATTTAAGCAATCAAATTAGAAAGTGCAACTCAGAAAAGAGTGATAGGTGGTTCCTTGGAAGATTCAAAATTGAGAGATATTTTAAGCACTCAAATTAGAAAGCATTGACATGGTGGGATCACTAAGAGAAGAGTTCGATGAATCTGCTTCTAAAGAAAGCCTTATTATGCAAGCAGGGGTTAAAGAGCTCAATAGAACAGTCATCAACTAAGATTAAATGTGACATAAATTTATGAATAACCTCCAGGTTGGGGCAATGCAAATATAATTTGCCAACAAAAGAAAAAATGAGAGTGGACTAGCAAGTTCATAGCTCTCATCTACAGAGAAAATAAGTGCAGCTTTGCCTTAAAATGTAAATGATTGCTTATGCTATGGTGGACATAAATCTTGTTGAAAAAAATAAAGAAAAGTGGCCAGATGTAGAGCAATACAATCTTGAATCTTGCAACCTACCAACCACTTTTGCAAAGGATTGAATAGTGAGTGCAATAGGAGCACAATATTTTATGACATGGAAGGAGGAGTCTCAGAGAAGACAGCCAACATCAAAACAAATAGCGGTGATGGTGACAGGATTGGAGATTCAGCTGAAGCCTTAGGTACAATAGGTTCAACAAGAAAATGTGAAAGTTGGCAAAGAGATGGCAAAGTTATAGCCCAGGACAACACCCCAGTAGATATCAACGTGCGAGAACAACTGAGCATAGGAAGTGAAGGTACACCTCTCCCATGGGCACGAAGACACATTGGTGATAGCGCCCCACATAGATCACTTGAGGAAGGGGAGTGCTGGGTGGATGTGGGAGCAAGCGTGGATGAACAATAAGAGGCACATGTGTGCCTTGTGCATGAATGAGCATGATGCGAGACGGGTGAGAGTGCTCTTTGAGTGCATGAGCATTGGGAAAACAAGAGGATTGAGGATGGAAGATGTGATTTACTGTAATTATTAGATAAAGGAATTCATATGGCTTGAGGAGAAAGTTAGGGTTAAAGTGAGGGAGGGTGAGGATTAAAGTTAAGGTAAAGTATAATTAACTTCAAGAAATTTGGCTCTGCCACCTATTAACATAGAAATATTTATTTGATGTCAATTTGATGCAGAAGAGGAATAATCATCATCATCTCATTAGCCTTATCCCAACTATTTGGGATTACTTTTTTGAATCTTATCAATTTTCATTAGTGTTGAAAGATTAAGAAAGAGAATGGGCAAATCTAAGATTACATGGATAGAAGTTATTCAAAATGATTTACAAAGAATAATTTTAACACTTGAGACAACACTCAATATTGATGCCAAATTGATTATGAGTTCTTGATGTAGATCTGCTTGATTTTCTTCTTCCTTATCTTTGAATTTGCTTCATTTCTCACTTTAGATGAGAGGGAATAGAACATAAGGAGTTTAAGATGAGGAAAGCAATATCAAGATTCTCTCCTTATTTGTAAATTCCCATGAGGACGGAATTAAAAATTACTAAGTAGAGAATTTTATATAAGAGGCCTTGTGAACCTCTTAGATTTTCAAAATGTGCAAAACAAAGAGTGAGTTTAAAGAAAAAGGGAGGGAGAAAGAGGATTCCAGCTATTATTAATTGCCGAGAGAAAGAAGGAACGTATGAATGGGGAAAGAAAATTCATGAGGGAGTGGGCGGAATCTATGGCTGTAATTGTGTTGAATTGAGACGAGAATACCATGGATTGTAATTCGCTTAGTCATACAACAAGTTATTCATGCTTAGCTCAATTTTTAGTCAAATTTTTACATATATGTTCGTACTTGACTTATTTAGATTATTTATTTTTCTATAATTGACCTTGGCTCGTACTTGACTTGCCTTAATTAATTCAAGGAATGCTTAACCCAGCTGATAAACCAGCTAAAAAAATAAATAAATATTTTTTTTTTCATAAAAATAAATAAATACTTGGCTTTCATGTTAATAAATAATCTACAATTCTAAATGAACAATAGTTCGATAAAAATATGGAATTAGTATCCAACTACTTTGATACAAAATAAATAAGATAATAAATAAGCAACGAACAAGCTTTCTTGTAATCATACAATATTTATTCGTTAAAAATAAAGAAATAAGAAGTTATGCCATCAAATTAATTTGCAAATTCACTAATACCAAGTTTGAACTCTTCAGAAAACTTTGTGCATAGAAATATTACAACACATCGAGGATTCTGGCCTCGTAATTTCTAATTTAGAAGGTTCTCCATTCTAGAGATTATAACCATGAAATAAGACGTCAACGAAAAAAGTCAGTTGAATGTTTTCTTATATCTGCAAGTATGCAATTCAGTACAATCAAGCTAATTGAATAGAAACTTACAATGGCTACCAACATTAATGAGTCCCACTTATATCTAGGATTTTTACATACCAAAATAATAGTGAATGGAAGATATTAATATGTTATGCAATTATCAACTGATCTTAGTATCTCACAATTTCAAATATATCAGGGAAAGAAAAAAGGCAGGACAAATAACACACCTCTCTGATCAAGCTCCACAACATATGGCGCTTTCTTCAATTCACTGAAAACAGCTTTTGCTCTTCGACAATACCTAATATTATCCAAAACTATGAGGGAGTGAAATATCATACAATCGTTAATAGAGCATGAACAAATAAGCTTCTCTAATATATGCAGTAAACTAATAGATTGAATGTTGCTAATTACCTAGCAATAGCACATCATAGCATGGAACCTAGAAATTAAGTTACAAGGAAAGGGCTTTCTTTCACTTTAAACTTAATATGTGTCATGCAAAATGGCAAATCTTTTGGGAATGTAAATGTAGAATTGTACGTGATAGACATTAGTCAATAATAGCTTATTGCAAATAAAATGAATTAAAAACTTTTAGATCTAAGTCTTTTCTTTCTATTCTAGGTGAAACATATCACATAAGTAATGCAGTAGAAATTACATTTTAAAAAGATACTCAACGGGCTCCGAAAATTTGAGCTTTTAGTGCTTGGCCTCTCTGTGTATATTCGGGGAGAATTTTAACAAATTATAAAATTTTTGGAAAACATATTAGATAGAGATAAGACATCTCAGAAATTTCATCCTCCTATACGAGATCTTTAAGATTTGAGTTCTAATTTCCTATAGACACAAACTATCCCTCCAATAATGAGAGAACACTTGCGATTAAGACAAGTTATTAGATAGATACTAAGTATTTGACATATAGTAGCAACATATTTAGATGTTTAAAACTTAAAATTTAAAGTTTAAAATTCACCACTTTGCACATACGATGAATGGTTGGGTGAATGATGACGAACCTCATCAAAATCCTATGATTCATTCGTCTTGGGTTGTCATGACCCCTAGCCTACTTAGTTAGAGGAAATTGTCGACTCAATCTAACCGTAGAATCATTCTCAGCAACCATGAGTTACTTCCTACAATGATATATTGTAGACTTAGGATGATTATTTACCTAAGGGATGAATTCAAGTCAACTTTAGCTAACAGATGAATTTGTGTTTTATTAATTATAACCTATAATTCATTACTCAAGAGCACTAGCCATTGAGGAACATGCGAGCTTTAGTTGTAACCATAATATAGTGGAATCGTTTGGCCAAGCCACCCGATTAGAGGGCAAGGATTATAATCATTTAACATGTGGGGCTATTCGGTCAAGCCAGGGGTTCTTTGTGGAGCCATTGGGCCAAGCCATCGATTAGAGGACCAATTATAACTATTTATCACATAGAGCCGTTCTGCCAAGCTATGCATTTTATAGAGTCAACCAAGCCAAAGGCTAAAGGACAAATGCTACATCCTTATTGATAGAATCTTAATAATATTCTCGATTGGACATTTGCTCTTTGTGAGCTGAAATTATTCTTGAGTTCATCGTCCTCACCAAACAATTCGGAAGGTGAATGAGTTTTACTTTAAGTTGGAGGTGATTGACTTTCGATTTTAAAATATTTTAAATTTTGATAAATATTAGATTTTTAAAATTTTATGAAAATTTGTGCCCTGAATGGCTAGTTTTGGAGTTTGGAGGCCTTGTAAAGGTAGAATCTCCTCTGGTTAAAATTACTTTCATGACGGCTATCATCATGATGATGTTAAAGTCATTTTAAAAGATTAGTATGTTTAGTGAGGTTCAAAGGTAATTAGAATAGTAGAGCCCCCTCCAATTGAGATTCAGTTTTAACACAACCATCATTGGGGATATGAGTGGTCCATAATTTGGTCATTTGAACCTTGTTAACTTGTTTACCCGCTAATAGAGGATCGACTAGGTTCGGCGATTGATTGTTATGTGAACGTTGGAGCCGAGAATTAATATTTTTATGATGAAATTCATTTAGAGAGGCTTTGACCTTTCAACAAATGCATACTATGAAAGACCCTTTGCGTGATACTAAGAGAAATGTTGTTAGTATAATTCTAAAGAATTTACCCCTTCCTACACCAAATTATCCTCATGTCCTTTCCATCCTACACTAGCTACCTTTTCATAATATATGATGGGTGAATCACAAATATATTAAAATTCATAGGTGGCTGTGACAAACCTATTTACCCCTCCAAAAGATGAGATTGTACTTTTGCCTACATAGTTTTGTCATTTCTCTAATGCCATGGTTGGGTTTTAGAAGGCCAACCTTCTTATTGTTCATCTTGGAAACCAATTGTGATTCTTACCAAATGGTTTATGGGGAATAGGATATTCTCGACAATTGTTCATTCACGTTGGTGGTTTAAAAGAGATATTACTTTCAAAACAAAGATGTTAACAAAATAAAAGCTAAAAAATATCTAATTCACAGCTACTATATGAGTATTGCCAAATATTGGCTATACAAATCATATCTCAACCATATTTTAGCCCACTTGACAATCAGACATAGACGGGAATTCAAATTTTAAATTACAAAAAAATATTCATAAATATGTATGAACAAATACTTCCAATGGGATACCGGCCAACATCTTAAACAATAAAGTAGTTGAAATAATTCCACATTGAACTTCAAAGGCGACCCACATGGTTCCTTAAATTACATGTAGCAGTAAAAGCCCCTATATCTCAGAAATTGAACTCTCTATAGGATCCTTGTTTAGCATTCGCCCAAACATCGAAAGATTGAAACACTCAAATACTTCAAACAAACAGCATATCTTAAGTTTACAACTTAAGTCTTTAAATTCTCATGAAATTAGATAAACAAAGTTAGATATTAAAAAAATCAATTGCTCAGAATATACAAAGCTCTACTTAAAAGTCCTTGAATAGTATAAACATAAAAGAAATCCTAAACATAATTTTGGGTGGTTTAACTTCGACAATTTTAATAAATCCATTTCAACTCTTATTATCATTTAAATTCAGGATTTGTTAAATCCTACCATTCCTAGGATTAATGGATTTAAATATTTCTCCCTCTCACAAATCTTAAATCCTATTAGCAAATATCAAAACAATTTATCAGAATATAGCAAAATTTAAAATCCATCATATCATGCAGTTTTCAGGTTTTAATCCACTCAAGGTTTACTAAAGCTGGATTCATACTAAATCCTACTCGTTGCCAAACGAACAGCCCCTTAAACATCCATCCAGGTACCATAACTAATCCAAATTTCCATATTTAAATTGTAGACATTTCCTCTTGACCTCAAAATGGACAGATCCTGGACGTTAGGTTACATATTACCCTGAATCACCACTAGCGGCAACTCAAATACAGCATGGAACACGGAAATCCAGGAACAAAATAAAAAATAAAAAATAAAAGGATTTAGAGTAAAAGGGAATTTACGGGCAATAGGACTTGGAGAAGATAACGATGTTGTGGGCAGCGACGGTCTTCTTCACGAAAGCCTCCTTGCCGGCGGCTCCGAAGACTACCGGCGACAAGTAGAGAACGGCGGAAGCCACAGCGAGAATACAGACTGCCGCCCTGCCAAGCCGGTTGACTGCCGCCGTCTCCATTTCGTAACGGATCTCGTCGCCGGCGATAGTAAGCCACCAGAAGAATATGGAAAAGAGAGCGGAGTGCTGGAGAAATTATTAATGGCGGAGTCCGGACGGCTGCTTCCTGACTTCAATTTGATCCCTTTCACACTAGAAATTGTTGACTGGTTCGGTTGAGTATTTATTGAATATTTATTTATAAATATTCAGAAAATATTTAATAAATAATTAATAATAAATATTATTGAGTATTTTATGAATATTTGTTAAATATTTTATGAGTATTAGCTGAGTATTTACTGATTTACTATATATTTATTAAATATTTTATGAGTATTTACAAATAATCAATAAATATGCAACAATCCGGATGGTTCTTCTTGTCTGGACTTCGCATAAACAGACTGTATAAAAATTATACATGAATTGTATACATATGAAGTTGTTGTGTTTTGAAATATTTGCGCATATTATTAAACATTAATCAAATTTTTAATAATATTTATATAATATTGTTCATAATCATAATATTTAATTTTTTATATTTAAAGGGATTAAAAAGAGATAGTTTTATCAAACATATCATGCTCAGAAATAAAATATCAATTTATATTAATATATGTTAAAAAAAAAAACTCAGAAATAAAACACCACCAACAAATTTTTTATTGCGGGCCATAGTATTGTCACTAAGCGAATTGTTCTTTACTATGTTTTTTGCAGCAGCGTATACCGGCATTCCAATATTTTTCTGAAGTTAAAAGCCCTAAGAGCCGAAGGTAATATTAGGATCACCAATGGCCACTCGTAAAACTACAATTATAAAAATAGAAATTTAGGCTTCTTTTGGGCCAGCTTTTTTAATTCTTTCAAAGAAAAAAAAATTATTAATTTTTTTTTTGAATTTAAAATTTTCGTACTAAAAATTATTTTAGAAAACAGTAAAAAGCTAGCCCAAACAAGAGAAATTAGTAGGTGCGGTTACTAGACAGTTCAAAGGCCAAGCAAAACGAGCCACGTCACCCAACACACAGCAGTACATAGTAATGACACAGTAAATTGATGACATGACGCATTTTGATTAGCCTCCGGACAACGTCCGATGACCGCACGTAATAATTTCACTTCAAACAAAGCCTTAAATAGAGCATACACAGTTTGATGATAATAAAACTGAACGTACACCAATGATTTGCTTCTACTTGCACCTTGATTTAAGCCCAACTAAATAACGAAAGGAAAAATAGACAACATTTTCAATTGTTTGAGAAGATGGACACATAAAATCAAAGATATTTAACTGCTCAAAAGGTGAACTAAAAAAATTATAAAAAAATAGCTATTTAGTATTATATTATTCTAAAAGTATTAGCCTCCTCCAGCATAAGTACTCACCCTGTAATTTGTGCCATTGCATTCTATAAACTCATTATGATTCTGGACTATATTGTCTCTCAGTAATGTCGTAAAATATTCTCCTCCAAAATATGAAGAATTCTGGAAGAACAAAGCCAAAATGCTTCAGGTAGTCTGTATTTGGAATGATCTACAATTGCTGTTAAGATCTCGAGCAGAAATATATGAAGCTCAGGTTTCAATAACATTCGAATCAACAGTGCAGCCCATAGCTCGGGTGCCAAGCTCACGGCTCGCTGGAAGGATTGTAAGCCAAGCCAAATCCTTGAGATCAAATCAACTCTCTAGCAACAAAACAAAAAAAATTGGTTGAAGATAGAGAACTCAAAAAAAAAAAAAGAAATCATGTTAAACAAAAACTTTGCTTCCATGGAGATTTTTGTGGCATAAAATCAATTTGGTTTTATCTTAAACTGATGTAAATTTTCTAAGCCTATGTTTTATTACTAGCTTCTATATCTTGATTATATGACTCATTAGTTTAATTATTCTATAATTAGGAGTGTCAAATGGGTATTCGGGTCGTATTCAAAATTGACATGGGTTCAAACGTGTTGATTCTAATCCGACCCGATTTTATAAACATGTCAAAATATCTGACCCGGACCCGATCCGCATGGGTTACCGGGTTGACCCAACCTAACCTAGTAACCTGGAATACACAATAGTTTGCGAAGGGGGAGAGCGTGGTGGGCGTGGTGCGAACGCAAGGGCTGGAGGGAGAGCATGGTGCGGGCAAGCTTGGCACATGCGCGGGAGGGCAAGCGCGGCACGGTCGTGGGTCCATATGCACGAGCTCAAAAGCGAGAGGGAGAGTGCGGCCTACGCAATGCGAAGCGCGAGAATGTTACGACCTACGAGCGTTCATGAGCGAGGGAGTGCACTATGGAACGATTTGCCTCAGGTGCGGGTCCTTGTGCACTGGGCTCAAGCGTGGGAGAGTGCGGGTCAATTCAGGTAACCTTCGAGTTTCCGGGTCAACCTGAACCCATCCTGATTTTAACAAAACCGAACCCAACCTGTATGACAAACAAGTTGATTGAAACCCAAAATTTTTTAGGCCGAGTCTAGATCGGGTTTCAAGTTTGATCAAATATTGACACCCCTATCTATAATCAGCACAATCTTACATGTTACATTTACTTTAAACATTGTATTATAATGATTATTCTCCAATCATTATTTGGTTCGTATTTTTTTTAAAAGATCTTATTATCTTAAACCCTAAATAAACATAATTCGAATAAAATTTTTAGATTTCATTTATCAAGAATTCAATTGAACTTCAGAAATTTCCCAAACAAACAGAAAACAAGACATGACAAACCTCCTGACTACACTTTGTTGTTTCTTGCGTCAAATCTCTGCAACGAAAAGTTTCCTCTTTAAGAAAGGCATCTGCAACTTTAATGATGTCCCGAAGGAGAAAAACCCGGACCCTTTGACCTTTCACAGATAAAACAAAGCACAAAAGATCCTCCGTTGCAGCAACCACAGAATGCATGTCGAAGGATTTCCATCCACGAACAGATGTAGCTCTTGAAGCCGAGTCAGAAGATTCATTTGTTTCCTCAGAAGATAGATCAGATATAGCTGCAATCTGAAGTGAAAGTAATGCATTTGAACATAACTTGTTAAACTTCTTAATCAAAAGGAATACAAATATTTCGAGCAGCATTAAAACAACAGTCAAGGTTCAACCGAACACAAATCATCACCATAAAATTACATAACTGGCATATTTCAATTTCCCAAAAATGATTTGTTAATGTTTCCTTCACTATTCAGTAGTGCCGGATAAGAAAAATGTCGTTTGGCTTATGGTTCAAACGATCATTTTCTAACCGTAATAATACATCACAAAGAATTCACACAAGATTTTTAAATCCATTAAAAAAGATAGCGATGCAGGACACAGGCCCAAAACAAGAATTAAGGTTAGGTTCAAGTCTATGTTGCACCACACTGGTTCTTGTAAGTTAAATTATATTTCTTTAACTAGATTTCGTTTATTTAAATTTGGATTTAAGAATTCATTAGATTCGTCTTATTTAAATTAAGATGAATTATCATTTTGGATAATCATTAGATTTAAACTTCAATTAGATATCAGGATTAAATTCAATTTGTGAAGGATTTAGATTTGAAAGTCATTTGCAAGCCCATTTCGATAAATACAGTAAGATTGAGTGTATTTCTTACTATCTTGGAATTGCAATTAGAGTCATTTTCCTATATTCCCGCTCTCGCCTCTCCATCCTGTTTCCTTTCACCGGCACTTCGTGTGGACTTGATATTTCTCCTATTCCATACTCTCTCACAGGAAAAATGAGACTGATCAAGCGCAATTTAGCCCGCCTCAGTCTGATCTCCTGCATGCTCAACAACACCCAAACTCATGTTCTCAAGTCCATCCATAGCCATGGACTTGATGCTCGCTAGATCTGACTTTGATTTATCCTTCTATTTCTACACCAACATAGTATTGGAGCCAAAAAGCCTGAATCAAACCAAGGAAATATCTTAAGGTTAGATAGATTAGGCGGAGGTAAAGGCAGCTACAACAAAGTCTACAAAAGGGAACCTCACTTATAAAACACTGCCAATTCATGAAGGATTCAGAATATAATCTTTATTAAACTAAGGCATTGTAATTCTTCAAGGGAAATTACTGAAAATTTATTTACTCGCTAATTACATTACGCCGCCTCAATGGAGAAAAAGTATTCATATAGCCGACCCAGATAAACGTACTCGCTAAGAATTTATTAGATTCATGTAGATTAGGTGGAGAAGGTACCTCCTCAATCTGTTCACCACAAATGTTTTCTCATAAAATAACCTTAATATTGATGGTCAACCTATTGAAATTCCCGATGACAAGGCTTACATTGAACAGTTGCATGATGAACAGATAATAATTGTCAAGTAAAAAATAGGTTGAAAATTTAGTAAGTATATTTCGACGATGCATTATTCATCAAGACAGCCGAACCCGCTAACCTCCAAAGGTTTAAGATGGCATTGGTCTAATTTTCAACGCACCAAAAGAACAAATTGATTAATTGATAGAGTATCTAGGAAAGGAAACTAAGGAACATTAGAAGTAGATAAGGATTAAGGTTCGCTTGAGACATGTTTTCTGCTCTTATCCTCGAAGGTTGCCTTGACCTTATATGCAAAGAGCACAACCTAGCCTTATATTTCACATTGATTTGCTGTAAATTTCCAAAGAGCACAACCTAGCCTTATATGCAAGCAGCTAGTCATCTTCAAGGAAATCCAAGCTCCAGAATCCTGTTACATAGCATGAGCAGACGACCAAATTGAAAAGGGTAATTTGAATGGCATTTACTCGTGCAATGCCCTCATTCTATAGAAGTAGAACCTCAAAAAAGCCCCTAATTTTTGTAAATTTCCACACTGGTCTACATTTTTCCAACTGCAGAACTAAGTGCTTTCATAACTAGGACCTAGCAACCAGTGAACAACATAAACTGCCCTAAACTTCCCATCTAGTATTCACGCCCATAAGGCTACGAACCAACCTATTTGGCATAATAGAAAATGAAGTATCGAGAGGAAACTGAGCGTTGTGACCCTAGGATAGCCATGCCCGGAAGAAATGTGATAGGTAATAAGGGATTTTCATCACATAGATATTAAGTTAATGGTAGAAGTAACAATCAAACTAAAAAGAACCTACTTGTTTGATGGAAAGATAGGGGACTTAGTTGCAAGGCAGTCAAAACTGATAAATCGATATCCAAATCAGCCAAAGAGAAAAACTAAATAACTTACCTAAAAACAAACCAACCTCTGTTCACACATAATGATAACATGATAGTCGTCGTTCATAACTTCTCACAATTCCCAATATAGATTCTTACTAAAGGATTAACGTTGCAACAACAACAAGCCTATATTACATTACGTGGTGTCAGCTACATGAATCTTTTTTCTCTATTGTATTCTAATAAAAGTCAAATTCTCATTTAAATCTAATAGAAAAAAATATCATTTTGAATACTTTCTAACCACAATATTTAGGTCAACCTCTAGCTTTCTTAACATAGGTTGGATCTAATACATCTAGACTCCTAACAAGATCATCAGAAGATTATCGTTTTATGTGACCATATCACCTCAGGCGTCTTTCTAATCTTATCTACCACTGGAGTTGCTCCAACCTAATAGAGGACTAACATTAGCAAAAATAAAATATTGGAATGAGCAATGTAAAGCATCAAAAAGGTCAGAGTAGTTGTATTTTAAGAAAATGTAAATCATAGTACAAAAGAATTTAAACATTCAGCATCAAAGACATAAATTATGCGTCTGAGTCCCCATTTAGGTCACAGTTCCAAAAATTTGATTAGACAAGTTCATCAATCATACCTATTTCGTAAAAAAAAATCAAGTAATCACACCAATCTTCAGTTCAATGTATTTAAGGATGTATCCTATCAATTCCACACTAAAAAAATATAAAGATTACCAGGTTGATTAGAAGTAAAAACATAATACTGGCAAGTAGCAATCAATACTTAGTAATCACAATGAAAAAATATTACATACCAGCCGCTCAAACCGGTTCCATCTAATCGAGCCATCATTGCAAATAAGAAGCTCCCTTAATATTTTCCTCATGTCAGGATCAGGATCTGCAAGCAGCCTTCCAACCACAAAAGGATATGCACTCTCAATAACTTTAAAATCTGGATCCAATGCTTTGGCAGTACCTTCCAAAGATCCCAGTGCTCTTATTACCAGGGCATAATCAGGAGGAAGTGAAAAGTTGAATTCATACATGACATCATACAATTGGTACATTACTCCCTGCAGTTCAATGCAAAAACAAAACAATTAAGAATTTCATGCAGATAATTGCTTTTGATCAATAGCCCACCTGCAAAGCAGAACAAAAGAAATAAATCCAATATTGAAGTTTATGTAGATACAATAGGACTGCTGAATAGTAGTACTCCTGTAAGAAAACATAAAAAAAAAAAGACATCAAAGATTGTCAGGGAACATTTTTTAATTCAGGAAAAACTAAAGAATATTGTCAAATGGTGGAAAAAGGAAAGTAGAATCATCTAGCTTCCCTCCCCTCTCTCCCTCTCCACCCACGCAAATCTAGGTTCATCAATTCTTTAAGCAGTTGCAATGAGAACCTCACTAGTAAAAAAATCCAAGGAGGTTCTTCACTAGGAAAGGCAAAAATTCATCGTTGAACTTAAACCATCAGAGATAAGATTAAATGACCTAATTTCTTGACTTAGTTGTTTGCACACAACCATGGAATCCCATTGAAAATGAACGATAGATCATTGGTTGATATAGCATAAGTAATAGGTACATAAACAAGATGAATCAAAGCTCGAAGAGAAGTGAGGCAATGATTAGAGATGAAACAATAGGTATTAATCATAAAATGCAGAGAATCCCCATAGAGGAGGCCACAAGAAAGTTCATATCTCAATTCATGATTTAATAATTTGTAATACAAGATTAAAGACTCTTATATAGTCATAGGGAAAATAATACTTGACTAAAATACATTAAGACAAAAACAAAAGAAATAAATTGTCCTTCTTACATATAGAAAGTATTTTTAAAAGTAAATGAAAATGTTTAATGCCTAAAAATAATTTTAAATGCAAATATAGACAAACAAAAAATAGGCTGAAGACTAAAAACTAAATGAGCTTACTCTTCATCACTTTCCATGGCTATTAATAATCATATTCCGGAGAATTAAAATATAATTGGAGGGGGATCAAAGGTCTTCAAATGTACTAGCAAAACCATTCTGAAAAAGGACGAATGAATTTTTATTATTGCAAATAAGATATCTAAATATTCATTTTAGTAATATCTCTCTTTAATTAGTCTCTTAAATATTCCTAATTCTTATTTTCTATCTTCATTAAAAAAGAATTAATTCAAAATTTCTATTTAAATATTTAAATTATTTCATTACTTAAAATAACAAATTTAATAAAAAAATTGTTTATTAATTTATATAAAATTCTCTTGTGTTCATTATATATATTTATATTTAAATATAAAACTATTAACAATGGATGAAAAATCATAATTTAATTATTATTACAAAATTTCTTTACTATTCAAATTTATTCATTTATATTTTTATACAGAATTGTTTATTAGCTTAAATAGCTTATTAGACAGCCAAGCGTTCATAGCGACGTTGCTTTTTGATCCTTCGATAAAAAAAAAGAAAAAGAAAAAAAAAAGCTTATTAGACGTACTCTCATTTTTTTCAATAAAAAACATCCTTAACTAGTAAATTCTCTACTCTTATAAATCCAATTTATTATTTAACATTACATAAGTTTAATTTATTCATTCTATAATTTAAAATCTCATACAATTATTTATTTATAAATTTAAAGTTGCTCTCTCTACTCTCGTTTAAAATATGTATATATTATAATTAACAAGTTTCTATTTCTAAACACTTAAAATTTCAACTTAATATTTTCTAAATTAATTTAAAATAATGATTTCTCATAAACTATAAAATTACATTTATCTTTTAACCTTCTCCTCCTAATTTACCTCTTAAATAACAATTTCTAAAATACAAATTTAAAAAATTTATCCTAATAATATAAGTTATAGTAAAAAAAAAAAAAAAAACTAAAAAAAAAAAAAAAAAACTAAGTTGCTCTTCTCAGTCGCACGTTGTCGCCTTCACCGTCGCTTCTTTTCTTTCTTTTTTCTCTCTCAATCTCTCCCTCTCCCTCGATAATTTAAAGAGAAGAAATCCTTTTCGTTTTTTTTGCCACACTAGGCAACAGAACCGACACAATCCTTCATTTCCTCACACAGTGATGGAAACTGACATTATGTTCGACTGTAGTCAGTTCAGAATACTACAAGCACAAGCACACCCATTGATAAAGATAGATATCATTGTCTTATGGGAAAAATCATCTACTCTCTCTAGCTCGTCCTAAAATTTAGTTCCCTAATTTTTTAAAATAATAGATGAAGACCACATAGAAGCTGCTAACCACATTCTAAGGCATCTAAAAATTACACCAAGAAAATGCCAATAATGTAAGAAATCGAAATTTTCACAGATGTTGATTGGGCAAGAGACGCATCATATTAAAAATTCACGTCAGATTACTATGTATGGGAAAATTTGATTGCATGGATAAGTAAGAAATAATTTGGGGCCTCAAGAATTATAGCTAACGTAGAATATATGGTAGCAACAGTTGGTATTTACAAAGGTATGTGATTAACAAAATTATTTATACTCTAATAGTGTATTGTGATAACAATTTCACCATAAGTACTGCAAAAATTCAAGTCCATCATAATAGGACTAAACATATTGAGACAAACCGACATTTTATCTCAAAAAAATTTTAAAATGTAACAGCCCAACTACATTATGTTCCGACAAATTCTCGGGATATTCTCACCAAGGCTTGACCCAATCCATACAACCTAGCTTGACGATTTAATTGTTGAAATAGCTCTGAATGAGTGGTTAGCACTAAGCACCTTCTCATCTACAACCACCTAGTAATCTATAGATAATACCCCCCTATCTATAATAACCCAACAATTTATGGGCAACACTTTTTTATCTACAACAATCCATAGATCCATGTGCAACATTAGATTTTTTAGAATAGTTAATTCTCTCAATTCCAGAATTATGACCCCATTTTAAGATTTTATTTTGTTACTTGATAGATATTTCTCTACATATTTATATACAACTTCTTATCTTTCTTTTTACACCGAACAAGGGGATAAAATTCAGTCATACAATCTTCCATTTCTATTCTCCTCTCTTTTCATTCAAATTTTCAAGAAAAAAATTAAGGCTAATATAATTCCATAAAAACTTTAAATACTCTACAACTAAAACAACATCAAGAAGTAACCTAGAACAACCTTCAAAATGGGATAACCCGATAGACATCTGCATTATTTATACTTGCAAGAAATGTCAAAAAAAATATATGACCTCAGAACGTTTAGTTTAATTTGATTTATAGTTGTAGTTTTTATTTTTCTTATTTTAACATGTTCATTATGACTGCCTTCAAGAATGGGATGTGTTCTATATTTTATGATTTTTTAATGTGGTACAATTTCTTTATTTGAATATTGTATGCCAGTTATATTTTGAAGTATTCGTTACTCGATTTGCTATAAGTTGAGTTTGGTTATTTATGACCTATTGCCAGAACTTTCACCAGTTTTGTCATTGGATGTGATCCCAACATTATCACGTTATTCAAAAACTCATTTCCTAGTTGTAGATTATTTGTTCGACCATATTCCACAACAATGGGTAAGCAGTTTCTTGAGGATGATTATTGAAACCTTGAATGTTTGTTTCATGCAACTCGCCCTACCAATCTTCTTATAGTTGAATGACTGCTAGAGACTTGCAGCTTCTAGCAACAGACGAAGCTTTTAGCAGGCGATCCATACAACAACAACAACATCAAGCCTTTGTCCCATTACGTGGGGTCGGCTACATGAATCCATTTTTGCCATTGTGTCCTGTTAAAAGTCAAATTCTCATTTAAATCTAATAAAGAAATATCATTTCTAATATTTTTTAACCAAGTCTTCTTAGGTCTACCTCTATCTTTTTTAACATAAGACAAATCTAAAACCACAACTTTCCTAACAGAGTCATCGGAAGGCAAAAATCATTGAGTTGCTTCTTATCCAGTGACAATGAAATAGTTATCAGGACGTTTTTTCACTTCTTATAATGGACTGAACCACTTTTAAAGATTGAAAACTAAGGAATAAACATTTATAAATAGATACTTGAGGTATATATGAAAAACACCTCTTATTGAATAAATTTTTTTCCTTTAGTTTCACTTTTATGTATGCAAGTTGAAAATGTGCTGCATTTGAAAACGATACAAATGTGGCTACAAAATTCAAGGGAAGTAATCTCTTTGTGCCGGTGTGAAGCTTAATTTTTTTATCCTTTACTTTTGATCCTTGTTATTATTTCATCTATAAGATAATTTGATACTAGATTGTTGGTGTTCTTGATTTTGTATTCAAATTTCAAACATTTAAAACACTATTTATGGGAATTAAATAACAATTTCTTGATAATTTAAGGCTGTTTTAAATCCTTGCTATTTTTTAAAACTATTTCGATCATTTTATTACCACCCGAGTTTTAATTCTAGTATTATATATTTACATTTAAAGAAATAAGTTGTGAATTATTTGGTGGCTTGTGATATGCAATTTCGGTTGCATGAATTCATACTCACATCATACTATTTTCATTGGAAAAACCCTAACTTCAAGTCATCCTATTAGACCGGTCCAGCCGGACCGGCTTACGCAAAACAGTCAGAACTCTCCGCCTTTCTGTACGCACCGAACAGTTTCCTCAAGCTCAAGGGAACATAATAGGAAGGATTTTGAAGGGAGTTTAGGAGGGAAATTGAATGTAGGGACTGTTCAGGGATTTCTTTTTGATTTGTATGCATTAAATAGTTTGTTTTCCTAAGGTTAAGGCATATGAAATTCGGTTGAAATTTGAGATATCTTAGATTTAGGTTTTCCTTTGGGCTCTAGCGGCATCTAGAGATTTGTGAGAGATCGATCCTCCTCTAGAATTGAGAATCATCTATATCTTGATATTTTCCGTTTCTATTTCATCAAATAATACAAACTATCTATTGTTTTTCTGTTTTTGTGTGGATTTTGTAGGAGAATTCTCGTTGTTTTCGGAAGATTTATAGGTAATACTTGAGATCAACAAGTGTTTCTTATCACATCCTTAGTAGCAGAACCTA